AAGGGGAAAAGACAAGTAGATTAGTCTTCCTGGAACAAGATCTTATCAAGACAAGTTTAGATAAAAGCCTATAAGTAAGTTTGTTTGTTAGCATAGGCCAGGTTAATTATTATTTTTCTCCTATAGCACAAGTAAACACATTCAAACAAAGCAAAGCACCAAAATTTTTTTAACACTCAAACCTTAAGGCATGTATGCTTTAAACCATTAAATTTTGAATTAGTTTATTTTTACCACAATTTTAGATTACGATTTCAAAATTTAGGATTTTTTATAGGCGCCATTTATAATTAATCCTCCGGAGGCAAAAAGCAAGAACAAAGAGATCTCTTAATTTATTTAAAATTTTTGGCCACGTGCAATTTTAAAGAAACAGTTATTTTTTACCTATATTTGCAAAAACACTGAGAAACTACAATTTAGTAAACTCCAGTTCTTTAATAACAATTTTTTTTTTAAAAGTTTGACACATCCATGTAGGCAAGTTTTTAATATTTTTTTTATATCAAGCAGGTCTTTAATAACATAGAAGTTAGAATTTTTTCATAGAACAAGTATTTAATTTTTAACCCTTATTTTAAAACCTAGAGTCCAACAAAGACCACAATTTCAAAGTTAAGCAGTTTGTACTAACTTTTTTTTTTTTTTTAATAGAGGCATGATTTATTATTTATTTGTTTGTTTGTTTTATTTATACAAGCACTGGGTACAGTCAGAAGCGCGGGAGGGTGAGAGAATTCACCAGAGTCAGAGCGGGGAGCAGAGCAGGCAGAAGGACCGAAGTACGCTGCTGAGGGGAGCGGGTGGCAGGAGAGCTCTGCGCACCATGTGGGACCCTCCTCCGGTAGCTAGGGAGCAGCCGGGGATCGAACCGGCGCTGCAGAGGCTGCGTGCAGCTTCGCAACCCAGCGCTCAACCGCTGCGCCACCGGGGAGGCCCTGTACTAACTTTTTTAAATAAGAAAAACATTTTGAGTTTGTATTTTTAAGTAATTATTATTTGGCTTCACATTGTTTTAGTTCTGACTCACTGAGACTAAGCACATTTTTAAAACAAAAGGCAAATTTTTGTTGTTGTTGTTGTTGTTCAGACAAAGAAACTCCCTCCGCCCTATAAACTTTTTCCCGCCATACGCAGCTTCGCTAACCCCCACCTTGGGTATGTGAGGTCTGCCTGGGGTGCAATAAATTTTTCTCTCCCTTGAGAAATTCAGCCTGGCTCTCCTTTTCTTTACCACACCAAACCTTTCAGTTAGCAAGTGCAAAGTAACACAGCAGTTTTTTTTTTTTTTTTTTTTTTTTTAAGGTGAACAAAGGGAGAGTTTAATTTCCCCACAGCTGGAAGGCAGCAGAGACATACCAATGATCTCAACACTGGAGAAAATGTCCAGGTGTTATAGGACAGGGAGAGGGGCAGCCCAAAACCCCACAAACCTGCCTATTCTAAATGGGTTCTGCCATCCGCCGCATCAACACAAAACATAGGAGACTTTAATGGGAAGGAACTTTAATAAAACTAGGAAACAATACAGGTAAGGCAAAGAGTCTAGTTTCTAAATGAAGCACCTAAAGTTACCCATCCCCTCGTGGGTAAAAGTCCATCCATATGGGATTGGCCCAGAGCAAGGCCCCAAAGCCTGCCACAAGTCTAAAGCATCTTCCAGTGGGGACCCACAGAAAAGGGTCACAAACAACTGGACAAGCCCGGAAGAAAAAGAGCAAAATCAACATCAAGATAAAAGCTGCCATGGTCACCTCCCCACGGGTCTCACCCACATCTGTGTCACCCAGTCCACGACCAAAAGACAAGCGCAGTTTCTTCACGTGTCTCTAGGCTCCATGCGCCTCCTCCAGGTCTCCTGGCTCCATCCTACTTCCTTCCTCAGTCTCTTCTGCAGCTTCTTCTCTCCCTGCTCAGCTCCACCCTTCCTTGGGTGGGGCAGGGAAGCTGGAACCTCCCCCTTTCCTGGGGACCACCCTGTTACACCGGCAGCTGCTTATTGAGATCAGAGGCAGTTTTTTTCACCAGTCAGCTGTGGTAGACCCCTTTACTTATTAGTCCCCAGCATTTTACTTTTAGCCTTGACTGTGACCAAAGACAGTGGAGTAGGCATTGCCTGACCCATGATTACGAACACACAAATGCAACAAGGACAACAAACACCAGGAACAAAACCAGAGGTCCCTGGGTAAAGACAAACACCAAAGTTACAAGAAACGAACCAAAAAACAAATTTTTCAAACAGGCCCCTTACAGGTACTCAGTACAAACACAAATGCTACCCCAGTGCTGCCCCACAGGGGATAGCCAATCAGGTGGTCCGGGGACGTCTCCCACGGTCCACGCCAGAGGCTCTCTTTAGTGCATTCACCGAGCCTCTCCTGGCTACAGGTACTGAGCACAAACAGCTTCTAAACAATCTGGTGGTCCGGGGATGTCTCCCGCGGTCCACGCCGGAGGCTCTTATCAGTGCGTCCACCTGAGCCTTTTCCGGCTACGCCACAGGTACTCAATGCAAATACAGGTCTGCAGACTAGAAACAAATCTTACCTGGGCGAGTATTGGCACCCACCCGTCGTGCACGCTTTAATGGCTCCCTTCAGCTGTTTGGTGGTTGGGGTCTGTGCTAGCCGATCCCGGACGAGCCCCCAAAATGTTGTGCCCAAGGTCAGCAGACTCGGCGAGCATAGCCTCCAAGAACCCAAAGACAGCTGATGCAAACACAAAAGGGAGTTTATTTCAGACTCGAGTCCGGGTTCAAGGCACCTACCAACGCAGTGGCAGATACCGAGAGCCCCGAACAAAGGAAGCAGGGGTCTTTTAATAAGGTTAAATTATGCTGGCAGTTACTCATTGGCTACAAGGATGAGTTCTCCAACTTTGCCAGGCTATCATTCTAAGCTGACTGGCCAGGCCAAGATGCAGCTCCAACCTGCAGCTCCAATTACAGCAAGTTTACCCTCATTGGTGACCAGAGAGTAAGGGTGGAGTGAGGGTCCAAACTATCTCTGGAATGCAGTCTTTTCCCGGGACAGCAAGACCTGCAAGACCTGAAATTCTAAAATGGCAGTTACACACAAAATGACAAAGCAATGGCTAAGAATATTTATGCTTGGTTTCACACCAGGGATCGAGCCAGTGCTGCAGAGGCTGCAGGCAGCTTCGCAACCCAGCGCTCAACCACTGCGCCACCGGGGAGGCCCGCCTTTTAATATTCTAAAGAGCCATTTGTATTTCCTTTTCTGTGATTTGCCTGATTGTGTCCTTTGTCCAATTTTAGAATATATGCCACTAAAACAAGTTCTGACAGTTTTGGTTTTTTTAAAGATTTATTTATACAAGCACTGGGTACAGTCAGGAATGCGGGAGGGTGAGAGAATTCACCAGAGCCAGTGTAGGGAACAGAAGAGGCAGACTGACGAAATACACTGCTGAGGGGAGCAGCGGGTGCAGCACGAGAGGTCTGCGCACCATGTGGGACCCTCGCCCGGTGGCCGGGGATCGAATTGGCGCTGCAGAGGCTGTGGGCAGTTTCGCAGCCCAGCGTTCAACCGCTGCGTCACCAGGGGAGGCCCTGAAAGCTTTTTAATACATAGATCTTTGGACATCTCCACAGATACACTGAATCAATATTTGGACTCATAATTTATACCTTTTTACATTTAATTTTAATAGAGGGTTTTTTTAAACTTATTTATGCATACATGAACTCGGCTGTAGACCAGAGGTGGGTGGGGGGTGGTGGTGAGAAGATTCACCAGAGAGAGTGGGGAGCAGAACAGGCAGATCGACTGAAATACAATGCTGAGGGGAGCAGGGTGCTAAGCAGGCGAGGTCTGCTGCCCCCTGTGGGTTAGCTCACCAGCTGGGGATCCAGCTCATGCTGCAGTGGCTGTTGATAGCTTGATAGCGCTGAGACTTCATCCCTGCACCATCAGTGAAACCCTAACACCCAAGTTTTAACAAGATTTAATTTTTCTTTAATTTTTAAAAGGATTTATTTATACAAGAACCTAGGTACAGGCCAGAAGCGCGGGAGGGTGCGAGAATTCACCAGAGACAGAGCGGGGAGCAGAGCAGGCAGAATGACGAAATACACTTTTGAAGGGAGCAGCGGGAGAGACATGACAGGTCTGCCGAGCCATGTGGGGCTCTCCCTGGCCGGCCGGGAATCGAACCTGCACTACCGAGGCTGCGGACAGCTTCACAGGGCTGCGCTCAACCTGCTAAGCCATTAACAAGATTTTAAATTTGAGGAAGCACAGGAGTTCGTATTATGTATTTGGTTTCCGATCAACTTTTGGCACACAGTGAAAATTAGAAACCACCCATCGGAAGAGGAAATGGCGGCAGGCTGAGGAGCAAAATAACCAACATCCCAAAACTTTGCAAAACGGAACAATGGGAGACCGGCCCGTGCGCCCCGGGGAGGGGAAGTGGGCGGGGCGATGAGGCTTCGGGGGCGGGGCTCGCCGCCCAGTGGGAGGAGGGGCCTGCGGCGTGCCCGCTCGCTCCTCCTCTGAGACGTCACGTCCAGGGTTCGCCCTCTGCCGCCCAAGACTTGGTTCTCGCTGCGGCACGCGCGCGCGCCCCGGAAGCTGCCCCTACTCGGGGGTCATGATGGGCAGCAAAATGGCGTCCGCCAGCAGGGTCGTTCAGGTAAAGAGATTCGGTCGCCTTCCCGTAACGTGGGCGGTAGGGATGGTGCCCAGTAGAGTAACCGCGCTGGGGAAGAAAGGCGGTGGCGTAACGGCGGCCTTTAGTCGGGCCAGATGCGGTGCCTGGGGGTGTGTGTGAGCATTGGAAGTTGAACGCATTGGGTAGGGCGATGAGCCGGGAGCTGGAGTTGAGGGTTCGAGCGCGGCCACGGAAGTACCTCATCTCAGCAGGTAGGCATATAGCTGCCCCGGGGTCCCTGTATTGTCCTCCGCCAAGATATTAGCGCCCTTAGGAGTCTGCGGGCTAGGCTGCCCTGGCAATGGTGCGGCCAATCGTCTTCTAGTATCGTCTGTGATGTGTCTGATCAGCCAATCGGGAGGAAGGCGGTAGCAGGGAGTCAAAGGAAGCAAACCCCGCTTCTGACCCAGTGTCCCTTCAAGGTCTTGCGAGTGACCGGAGAGCTGGCCCTGAAGGATGCGAACTCGGCCGCGGCCGGTTCTTCCCTGCCAGGTCAAGTGTCCCTCTACAAGGCTGTATGGGGAGAATTGATTGAGAAGATAGTATTTACGTTTTTGTGGGATATACGTCTTAATGTCGGTCTCCGAAGCCTTTTTTTTTTTTGAGTTTGGATAAACTTCCCCAGGGGCCACGTTTTTAATCCACATATCAATCGCCAGCTCTTGACAGCTTGTGTATTTGCTTCTCCAGCTGTAGTCACAAGCTTAAGTAGGAGAGGTAAAAATGGTATGTATGAACATGGACATAGATGTGCTTGGCTTATTTGGTCGTTTTCAACTCTAGAGTTCATTATTGTACGATGAATGTTTCACTTTCATATGAGAAGTGCATTTCTCTTTATACAAGTATATCTCTCAAAAGACCTTTTCCTAATGATAGTCTGAATGATAATCCTAGATCCCAGTCTTCGGTGCCATTGCAATGAGTGATCCTCACTTATTCAGTGAATAGTTAATGAACATTAACTAATTAAAGATTTTGTGAGCACAAGGAGAACATCTGACAAAAAACTGGTATCCATAATACATAACCCACTTTAATAGCCCACTTATATATATATATATATCATTAAAAATATAAATAGCCCAATTTAAAAGTAGACAAGTAGGTTTTAAAAATTGGTAATGCATTAAAAAAGATATCCAAAATCATCTGCAAACCTGTGAAAAGACACTTACCAGGAAAATACAAATAAAAACCAGGAAGTACTACTGTACCCACCAAAATTATTAAAATTAAAAAAACTGTAAATACCAAATGGCAATGAGAATGTGAGCACCTAAAATCCTCATAAATTGTTGGGAGAATAAAATAGTACAGCCAGATGGTAGGTATACCTACCCAGTGATCTGACAGTTCTGCTCACAGTTTTACAAGGGAAAAGAATGCACTTAACCTATAAAAATACTTGTAAAAACATTCATAGCTGCTTTATTACTAATAACCCCCTAACTAGATATCATCCAAATGTCCATTAGCAGGATAAAAAGCTGTGGTAGATTTTTAAAGTGAAAAAATTACACATAGTAATAAAGAACTAACTACTGATATATGAAAGAAAAATGAATGTGAGATATACAATAGAAACTGTTCTGTCTCCTAAGATACAAAAACCTGTACTCACATTCATAATATTATTAGCAATATTGCTAAGATTATATAATAATTACCTATTATATATTTTTTTTTAAAGATTGATTTTTATTTATGCATACATTTTCTGGTAGGCCAGAGGTGCTGGGGATGCATGAGAGGATTCACCAGACGTAGAATGGGGAACAGAACAGGCAGATCCACTGAAATACACTGCTGAGGGGGATAGCGGGCGAGACAGAAGCGGTCTACTGCATCATATGTGGGCTATCTCCCTGGCCGGGGATCAAACTCTTGCCATAGTGGCTGATGATAGCTTGATAGTGCTGAGAGTTAACCCCTGCGCCACCAGGGAGGCCCAATTACCTATTAGCAAAATTTCTTGAGTACCTCTGTGCCAGGCCTATACTCAGTACTGGGACTGCTGTGCCAACAAGACAGGCACAGTGCCTCCATTGAGTAGAGTTTGGCCATTCATCAGTACTTTGCAGAAAGAGTAGTATTTCAATAGACTGGCATAGAAATTTACAAAGCATGGTCTCAACATTGAGAAATTTGGCTGTACTACAGGTTTTCTAGAATTTATTTTACAAGAGTAAGTTACAGTTAATAAGTAAATATCTGCTGAATGCCAAAAAATATGTATTTGATTGGTTTGGACCATTGTGAGAGCAAAAGGTGGTAGCTTATCGTTTATGAAGTGATTTAACTACATGAGACACAGGGTGAGAAGATGGGTGGTTGGATTAATTCAGGGTTTGCGATTTCCTCCCTCCAGCAAAGAAGTTTAGAATGCAGATAAAACAATATTGAATGTACTGCAGGTTTCAATATAGATTCAAAAGAAAGTCAGGATGAGACCAATTAATTGTGAGGAAAGAGAACAATTTTGGAAATGGGGGGCTTGATGAAATTGATAAGAGGAAGAAGATGAGAAAAGAGAGTTATAGGTTAAAAAGTTGTAATTTTTGATATTAGGTTGAGATTTTAGCTACAGCTCTGAACTTAATTCAGAATTCAGAATGAAAAAAAGAAACTTTCAGAAGTAAACAGTAAGCTAGAAGGAATAGAGGGTAAATAAGCAAATCAGAAATTATACTAAAGGAGAGGGTGATAAAAGAGAAAAATGGGGGGAAATAGTAAAGAGATTAAAGGATTTAGAGAAAGTGATTAAAATAGGCAAAGACAAGACACAATTTTTGTATTAGTCTCTAAAAAAGAAAAAGCATCTCCAAACCTATACTTTTAATAAAATTTCCCTGATAAAAAAAGAAAACAAACTTAATGCTTTGTACTTAAGAGAATTGACTCAGTATGGTTGACAAATGGGTGTAGTCTAGTAAAATAGATTTTGAAGAAAAAAAATTCTTTGGTGATCTAGACAAGAACAAGCACTTACAAGAGGAGTTATCAGCGTTTTCAGTGATAATACTTCATAGAAGAGGGCATGTGAATAAAATAATTTAGGTAATTGAAGAAGAATAATTTAAGTAGTTAAAAAAATGTGAGCCAAAGATTTATCTAGCTACACTGACCTTCAAGTGCACAGACCATAAACCCTTCTAAACCTTTAATAAATCTGGGAATATTGTTCCCTGGAACCTTTCTAGATATCCTACAGAAAAAGCTTCAGAATAGCTTCTTTCTCTGCAGTGTATGTGCATTTGTGTAAGTGTGTATATATATTCTTACATACCTATACAATTAGTCCTAACTTCAAAAACAGTCTCTTCATTTACTGGGTAAATGTTTGCTGAGCATTTGCTATGTTCCAAGCACTACTGCGGAAATGCTTAATTTTCTGCCTTTCCAGGATTTTAGCTCTCCTGTAATCACTGGCTGAATCAACTGCCCACTGTAGAATATTCTTCGATGTTCAGGATGTCATTGAAACACTAAAGAGGAATTTTTAAATCAAATTTTGGAAACTGCTTAGAGAGGAATGACATTTGTGTTGTTTTGAAAAATAAGCAGGCAGGTGGAAGAGGAGTCATGTGAGTGGAATGGAATTGGGGAGAGATTTCTTTACAATGGACCCAAACTCTACATTGAGCGGGGATGGAAATGGCATGATGAAATAGGGAAATGACAGGTTCTTCAGAACACAGGGTACATAAGACAGTGATGAGGACTGAGGGAGGCAAAGACCAGATGAGGATCATAACAGGCCTTGTGAGTTTAAAATCCAAGTTTGAAATTGATTCAGAAAACTCTTCGACATTTTAAAAACTTTAAAATGGGGTTGGGACGGTAAGATAAATACACATTCTTTAAAGAAAGTTGACTGTGAAAAGGAAGAAATAGTTACTAGAGGGAGAGAGTTTTGTTTTTTTAACATGAAAGACTTGAGCATGCTCTTATGCTGAGGTAAAGAACCATATTCTGGTATTTTCTCACAGTAGCAGAATTATAGTCGTAATTTTTAGGCAAGTCCCAACAAACCTATTTATTTCAGAACTCTTAAAAATGTATAATATGTAGTATGTAATATACAAAGGCATTGCAGATAAACACTTATCTAGATATAATAAAACTACATATTATTACTTTATTATTTTTTTTAATGATTTATTTATTTATACAAGCACTGGGTACAGTCAGAAGCGTGGGAGGGTGAGAGAATTCACCAGAGCCAGAGTGGAGAACAGAACAGGCAGACTGACGAAATACACTGCTGAGGGGAGCAGTGGGCACCAGGAGAGGTCTGTCCCGCCATGTGGGACCCTCGCCAGAGGCTGGGGATCGAACCGATGCTGCAGAGGCTGTGGGCAGCTTCCCAGCCCAACGCTCAACCCCTGCGCCACCGGGGAGGCCCCGTATTATTACTTTAAATGTGAATAGTACTCTGTTGTGTTGTATAATGTCTTAGTGTATATGTTGAAGATTTCATATTGGAAGATCCACATTACCTGGGATTTCAGGGATATGTTATAAAAACATTCAAGTATATGTTATAAAAACATTCTGAAAATACATATTTCTGTGGTATAGTAAAAAAGGCTAAAATAGAGGACTATCAGATGTTTTAATTGGTCTTATCTGGTTAGGGTATTTTAACATTTTCTTTGTGCTTTCCTGCATATAAAATTCCTCCACACACACACACAATCTTTTTATATCGGACATGTGTCACTTTTGTAGTCAGAAAATGTATTTTTTTAAAATATCTAATTTTTGGAAGCTTTTGTAAGCCTACTCAGTTGCTCGGTATTGAGGTAATAGGGAAATAACACTTAAGTCAGGAAACTTACTGGAATTGGAAACTTCCAATTCTTACAGGTCAGTACAGCTATATATAAGTAATGCAATATAAAATCCATGCCATCATCTTCAAAAGGTTGTTTTAAGGTCAGTTGATAGTAAATGTCTTGTGATGTATAAAGTTCAAAGTTATGAATAGCAGATAAGCTAAACAAGTTAATGATTCCTCAACCAGCTTTCCTGTTGAGGAAGAATGAAATAATACAATAAAAAGTTAGAGTGAAATATTTTATTTTATTATTTTTTTTTTTTTAAAGATTTATTTTTATTTATTTATACAAGCACTGGGTACAGTCAGAAGTGCGGGAGGGTGAGAGAATTCACCAGAGCCAGAGCGGGGAGCAGAGCAGGCAGAAGGACCGAAGCACACTGCTGAGGGGAGCAGCGGGCGGCAGGAGAGGTCTGCGCGCCATGTGGGACCCTCCTACAGTGGCCGGGGAGCAGCCGGGGATTGAACTGGCGCTGCAGAGGCTGTGGGCAGCTTCGCAACCCAGCGCTCAACCGCTGCGCCACCGGGGAGGCCCTGAAATATTTTATTTTTACTAAGGTATCTGTTTATGAGGTTTAGTAGATTGTTTCAAAAAGTTAACATTATTTTAGTGCACTGTCTTTTTTTCATGCATTTTATTTACTTTAGGTAGTCAAGCCACATACTCCACTAATAAGATTCCCAGATAGAAGAGACAATCCGAAACCCAATGGTAAGTTGTACTATATTTAGAATTTTCAAAAATGTATATGTGCATTTATATGAGTACTATGTACAGTATTTCTCACTCTAAATAAGGTAGACTAATGTAGCTGCGATCAAAGTAGTGCCTTAGGTTGCATGCAAGTAGAAATTAACTTTTTATTACCTCCAGTTTAAAAGGTAGTCACTCAACAGTAGATGTCTCTGAAATTTTTAATGACACTGAGTTTGTATAGGAGAATTTTTGTTCTACTTCTTTCTTCTGTCCTTAGAAGAATTTTTCATACACATTTGCAAACATTATGAAAATAGTAGCCATTCCTATATTTCTCTCCCAGCTAACCTTTTCTTTCATTCACTCGTTTATTCACTCAGTCAGTAAATATTTCTTAGATTGCCTTAGTACTTAGCAATTATCTTCCATTTTTATCAGACCGTTTGTCCCTGTCTTTATTATTACATATATCCTTAATCTTTTATTCAAGGAAAATTTCAACAAACTTATTATAATAACTCTTACAGAATTAAGATAAAATTATAAAGATATTGAGAAAACTGAAATCTACATTTACCAACTCTCATATTTTCCATTTTGTAAAATATTATATCTAAACTCCACCATCTGACAAAACTTGCATAGGTTATCTATAGAGGTCAAACTCCACTATTTAGAAGTTTAATTATTTTACAAACTTGTTCAATTTAATAATTCACTCAAAATTACTTTATTTGTTTTATTTTTTTAAAGATTTATTTATTTATGCATAGAAGAACTGGGGTACATGCCAGAGGTGTGGGGGGTGAGAGACTTCACCAGAGACAGAGTGGGGAACAGAACAGGCAGATTGATTGAAATACACTGCTGAGGGGAGCAGCGGGTGAGTCAGGAGAGGTCTGTTGCACCATGGGGGTATCTCCCTGGTTGGGGATTGAACTTGTGCTGCATTGGGTGCGGATAGCTTCATAAGTTGTGTCTAACCCCCTTGCGCCCCACCAGGGAGGCCCGGCCCACTTCATTTGTTTTAAAAAGAACTTTTTGAAAATATATATAGTTACCCAACTAAGTCATTCTGTAATACATACCTCTTAAAATGGTAATACTTCTCATTTTAAGAATTACTTGATTATTTCAATAATAGATAAAATAGTATGTTAAGATACTTCAACAATTGCTCTAATAACTTTTTTTTTTCCCCAGTATCAGAAGCTTTGGGATCAGCAGGACTACCGTCTCACTCTTCTTCAATTTCACAACATTCTAAAGGAAGTAAATCACCAGATTGGCTGATGTATCAGGGCCCACCAGACACTGCAGAAATAATAAAAACATTACCTCAGAAATATAGAAGGAAACTTGTATCTCAGGAAGAAATGGAATTTATCCAGGTATGCTATTGTGTTTTATCACAAAATTGTCTAAAACACCTTAACATTTTTGGGTTTTGGAATTTTACATGTTGATTTATATTCTCTACCAACTGTCTTGTCAAGGTTTGTTCAAAAGTAAGAGATAGATAGTCTTTTGGGCCAGTAATAAACTTGTCGGAGCCCTCAAAAAATGTGCATGAAGAATATATATATGTAGAATTATAATATGTTAAATAACAATAGATAAAACCACATGAGAAAAAGCTCTAGGGTCCTCAATAAATTTCAGAGTGTGAAGGGTTTCTGAAACCAAGAAATTTTTGGATCACTGAGGTAGGTCAGTCTTACTTTCCATATCATAAATGATGTTTATAACATAGATATGAGTATCCAAAAGTGGTAAAAACTCAAAATTGTTTTTGAAAAATAAAGGTCACTTGCTTAAAATGGTGTAAATGCATATAGTGCCATGAAAACATTTCTTATATATTTTTATCACTCAAACTTATTGTTTTATTTTTTCCTTTTCAGCGTGGAGGTCCAGAATAATCACTTACAGTGGGGCTGCAGTTTGTCATCAGGCAAATGAATAGTCTTTACAATAAAGGACTTCCAAAATGACAAATGAGAAATTGTATATTAAACAACTTTAATAAATATTCTGTAAAAAAGAAAAGAAAAGAAATATAGAAAATTTAGATGGACACTTGTATCTCCTAATTTATGTACCTGGTCAGCTTCTCCATAAGCTTACCTATTGTTTATATATTATCTACTTATTAAAGTATACATTTTTAAATGTTAGCCTATTAATTTACTCTTGATTATCAAGTATTACCAGTGTTGAACTATGAAAAGCACACAAATGTCTAGTAAACCTACATAGGTTTCCCAGAATTTCACTTTTCTTTCAGTTTCTGTGTAGACATAAAAAAATTTATTAGGCAGAATTGCTGCTTTTGGGAAGAGATTTTCCTAAAGAGGAGGATCAGTGAAATAATGACTCCATTATATGTTCTTAATTCTCTTACTATATTTTCATTCACAAAGTTTCTCAAACTTTATGGCTTAATAAGTATATTTTATGTAAATGATAAAAATATAGCCAAGGTAAAAACAGGTGACTTTGTGATATTAAGACTGGAGAGTTAACAAATAAGATTATTTGTAACCTGTGTTTAGAAATGAATGTCAGAAAATAAGAGGTCAAAAGAATATAGCATAGGAATAAATGTTTGACTAGAAATTACAACTTAATTATATTTTGAGACGTGTTAAGTCTAATTCTTTGGTTTAGTTTACCATTTTGATTATGTTGTATGCAAATCCTGATAATCCCTAATTTTCTCAAACTTTCAATGTCTGAAACTTGCATTAAATCAGTCTACATTTTTACCTTATTAAGGCAATTTATGAAACTTTAATAGGGTTTTCCTGTGCCAAGAGCATTATTACTGTGAAAGTAAAGTCTTATGAAGCTAATAAATTCTCTTCCCTATGTTTAATGGTTTCTAGAATATGCTTTTAAAAAGTCACCCCTAACTGTAAGAGTAGCTCATGAGCACTAGACAGGGTAGAATTGTTGAGTATGTTTTTATATTTTCTGGTTCCCTATGGGTTCATATTCACCTTAACCCATAGTAATGGGCTAATTAGTTCTCTCTTCAGAAGAAGAGTGGATCTGCTGCTTTTGTAAATTCTGTGATATGGCCTGGTATAAATGTTGCCCAATTCAAATATGAGATAGAGGTTTGGTGCTAACAATAAACTATTCTGATGACTCATGAAAATTACATGATTCATGATATTTTATTATTTTAAAATTTTATTTGAAAAATTTTCTTTAAAACTAGCACTGTTCTTTTTTTTTAATCCTTAGTTTTCTCATTTCAGTAAAAGGTAGCCTAGGGCAATTCTTTTTCTCTCAGAAATAGTGGAATTAGGTAATGAAGAGTAGCTTGAATAGTACTTGAATAGTACAATAGTACAAAACCCCAGTTCTGGAGGGGTTTCTTTACTAGATCTGTTGCTATGAAAGTCACAATGGGGAAAAAAATAACACTTTTACAGAATTTTTGAGTATTGGTATGGCAAAAATTGGGAATTGCTGTTTTCTGATGGGCTCCCAAGAAGGGTGTTGTCATAGAAAGAATCCTGATTAGGCTTAGAGTAAATAGCCTGCATTTTGCTTGGGGTTAGGCACTTAAGTATATGTAACTATTATGAAATTGCTTACTTTGTTCAAGTTTTATTTTCCTTTCTAGTGTTATACAGTGTGACAGGCAGGATCATATTAGTGTATTGCCTTTTGTAACAAATCGCCACAGAATATAATGGTTAAAAACAACAATAATCACATAATAACTGTGGTTTCTCTGAGTAAGGAATTCAGTTTGGCTGGCATTTATCTCAGTATGACTCATGAGATTGCAATCAGATGCTACCTGGGGCTGAAGTTATCTGAAGACCTGAAATGGAGCTGGATAATTCACTTGCATCCAAGATGTCTCACTCACAAGGCTGAAAGTTGATGCTGGCAGTTCACAGGAGACCTCAGACATGATGACTGACTTTCCCTAAAGCAGATGCTCCAAGTGTGCAATGTTAGAAGCATCAAGGCTTTTTAAGATGTAGCCTCACAAATTACACTCATTCTGTATATTCTGCTGACCATACAGAACTCTATTTCGTTGGAGGAGATTATACAAATGCTTTAATACCAAAAAGTGAAGGCCCCTTGGGGCCATCTTGGAAACTGACTACTTCTGATTTGTGAAGTGCTTTGTAAACTGTAAAATGCTACACAGATGCTGAATGGTATTTAGGTTACTGTTACAGAGATGTCTTTCAAAAAGAGCTGTGACCTAAGTCATGTGATACCACTTTTAAGAGAGATAGGTGATAAAGACTGTTTCTGCAACATGTGAAAATTTTGCCTACCAACAAAATAAAACGATAAAGATCCAAGTAGTGACAAAGATATGGATGGCCACCAATATTAGTTTTGTAATGGCTAATATAAACAGTATTATCAGAAGTGTGAAGTCATTTAAGTCATGCAGCAAATATATTTGTTGGTCCTATGCACAGGAGAAATCTAAAAACAGGTTAAATAATTTGCCCAGATCATATATCTAGGGACTGAATACTAGTAGGGCCAGTATTTAAATGCAGGTAATCTAGATCCAAACTATTCACTGTAATACTTTAATTATGATCCTTGGTATTCTGCTGCCTTCTTAAACATTCATTTGAAAATCAGGATTTTCAACTTTTAGAAATACCAAATGATTAAGCTTAAAAACTTGGAATTTTCCTTCCCACACCTCTACAACCCATATGTAGCATGTTAGCAAATCCTATTGGCTGGAGGCCAAATTGCTGTCACTAAAAACAGCCATATTATTTACTACAATAATTTTTTTTTTTTAACTGCTTCAGTCAGTGAAAGGGAAACTTTATTGAGGGCCCAGAGTCATGGGGCTTGGGCAGGAGGTTGTCTGCAGGCAAAGGAAGGAAGGGTCTTATTTGACCTTCTTCTTGGGGTGCAGGTTGTTGGTATGGCCACACTTCTTGCGGCAGTTGACAGCGCGGGGGTGCAGGCGAGCATAACACTTGCGGCAGATCATCTTGTCACAGTTATATTTCTGGGCCAGCTGGCGGAGGGAAGGTTCAATGATGCCACCCCAAAGGCGCAATACCAGGTGCAGGGTAGACTCTGAATAGTGTAGTCTGAGAGAGTGTGACCATCTTCCAGCTGTTTGCCAGCAAAAATCAGATGCTGCTGGTCAGGTGGAATGCCCACCTTGTCTTGGATTTTGGCTTTGACATTTTCAATGGTGTCACTAGGCTCTACCTTGAGGGTGATGGTCTTGCCTGTCAGGGTCTTCACAAAGATCTGCATTTCTGCGACTGCCGCTCGGCCGCCTCGTTGAAGAGAAAGAGGGCCGTGGAACCGGAAACCCCCAGTTCACTACAATAATTTTTTGACTAGCAATCTAGCTTTTTCTTGCCCCTTTAAGTCTATTTGTTTCTCATTACAGCAATGAACCTTATAAAAATATTACATCAGATCATACAACTTGTCCAGAACTGCAGTGGCTTTTCAGCGATGGCTTTCCTGTACCACCCTATTTAAAACTGCAGACACTATTATCTCTAGCACTTATCACTGTGTATCAAAACATAATTTACTTGTGTCAACAGGAGAGAAGCAACCAGGTTATACAATCAGGAAGACCTTTATTTGAGATTAGAAAACAATACAGATGCATGACCAAGGGGCAAATCCAAAGTGTGTACTATCAGGGTCAGGGTACGGGAATTTTAAAAGATCAAGCAGGGAAGTGGTCTGAGGTTAGGTCATTTGTTGTGAAACTTTCTAGATTGGCTCTTGAGTTCACTTGTCAATGATTGGTGCATAGACAGTCTTCAGACAAAAGGGGGTTTTGCTGGACTAAACAGGAGATGTCTCCTGTTTGTTGTAGTCATGGAATTGCTTAATCAGTCTGTTTAATTTTCACCTAGAAGTCTCAACATGGCAGTTTAGAGACAAGATGAAGTCTGTTTGCCATAAAGCAGGCTCTGCAATTACTGTCACCTTCCATTGGAAGGCAAGGATCTTTGTCTTTTTCTTCTGCTTATTAGTCTACAAGAGACTGGCACATAGTAAGCACTTAGTGTATATTTGTTGAATCATGCTCTTAATTTGTTGATTTGTATAAAATTTTATAAAGACTCAAGAAGTTAGATACTGATCACAGCACTTAATTGAGCACATACTGTGTCTAAACTTGCTGCATCAGTCTTTAATCACCACAACCACTTATGATGTAGGCTATTATTTCCGTTCATAAAGAGTAGAAAAAACTGATGACCAGCACATAATTCTTCAGTTGACTAGGATTTTGTTTCCCTGGAAATACTTCTTAATAAAGGAATTGGGCTGAAAATCTCATCAGCAGACCTTTAAAAGCTTTGAGCACGCTTAAGTAACCTGACGTTGCAAGGCAAGGGGTCCACAGTAACCATGGAAACAAGACGCGCCTTAGCAAGCACCAGGAAACTGTATCATGGACAAGTCCAAGCCCTCCATATTCATACACGCCTATTAAATATCTAATTCAGAATATCGTATCGGAAGGCTGGCCAGTCCCCGGTACTGAAGAAATTAACAGGTAACTGGGTGACACAGACTCCAGCAAACACACTCTGCTTCCGGGTGCCAAAGCTAGATCACGTGATAGGGCGGGGCGTGCGCAGACTGCCAACCAACCCTGCCTGTCGCAGCTACCGTGGGGCGGGCGCCGACCGAACTTATTTAACATCACCCCGCCCATGCCGGAAGTGGGGGCGGAGCTAACAAAGCGTCGGCGCCCAGTGAACGGAAGTGGCTGTTGGAGGCTTTACCACAGCTTTAAATTCCTGCTGTCTGGAAGGCTCACTCCTTTCAGCTGGACTCGGGCTTCGTGCGCCGGATGGCTGTGGACGTGAAGTCACGAGCAAAACGTTATGAAAAACTGGACTTTCTCGGGGAGGGACAGGTGAGGCGCTCGGGCGGGATTCGAGGGCCCAGAGCGGAGAGCGCCCGGTAGCCTCACCTCGCAGGTTTTCTCGCGGAAGCCCGAGGACTGTCCCGGCTGCTCGCTCTCCTTGAGCGCGGCCCCCCTTGTGTTCACACTGGAGGGGAGCCTGAGAGGACTCTGCTTTCTGAAGATAAGCCTGGAACAGGACGAGGATTGCCTCACCACCTTTCAGGCACCCAGGAGTCGGCTCCGAGAACCCTGGGTTCTTTGCCTCCTGTAAATCGATGAGTAGAAAGGCGTGCACAAACTTAAGTTATTCCTGTTTTTCTCTCCAGTTTGCCACGGTTTACAAGGCCAGAGACAAGAACACCAACCAAATTGTCGCCATTAAGAAAGTGAGTTATAGTTTATTCTTTTTTCCAGTAGTCTGAATGCTGGCCTCATGAATTGATTGCTAGACAGCTGTCGTACTGCTTTAAACCGTCCTCTGCTAATAGTTTTATGTATCATTTTCTTTTTTTTTTTTAGAATTTTTTTTTATAGAGGCATGCTTTTTTTTATTCATTTGTTTGTTTTGTTTTTTTTTTTATTTTGTTTATACATGCACTGGGTACAGTCAGAAGCAAGGGAGGGTGAGAGAATTCACCAGAGCGGGGAGCAGAACAGGCAGAAGGACCGAAGTACACTGCTGAGGGGAGCAGCGGGCGGCAGGAGAGGTCTGCGCACCATGTGGGACCCTCCTCTGGTGGCCAGGGAGCAGCCGGGGATCGAACCAGCGCCGCAGAGGCCGCAGGCAGCTTCGCAACCCAGCGCTCAACCACCGCTCCACCACCGGGGAGGCCCTTATGTATCATTTTCAAAGAAAGATAGAATTATTTTCTTATGTTCCAAGAGCCAGTTTTTTATTCCATTCATTGAAGTCGAAATGAAGAAACTGCTAGATTTGTTTCATAAACTCGGACGTTGGCTAAGGCAGCAAGTCTCATCTGTTGGGACCTCACAACTATTTAATTTCAAGAACTTCACAGGCCACTTTCTTTCTCACCTGTCCCTCTATGTGGCCTATCTACATTTGCTGTGAACAGATTTACCATGAAATGCTTTCACCAGCTTTAACAACGTTAATGTGGTGCATTATTTTAAATGATTTTAAAAATTTTTTTAAAGATTTATTTTTATTTATACAAGAACTGGGGTACAGGCCAGAGGTGCGGGAGGGTGAGAGAATTCACCAGAGACAGAGCGGGGAGCAGAACAGGCAGATTTACTGAAATACACTCACTGCTGCGGGAAGCAGCAGGCGAGACAGGAGAGGTCTGCTGCACCATGTGGAATTCTCGCTCGCCGGCCAGGTCGAACCCGCGCTGGAGAAACAGCTTCACAGCGCTGCACTCAACCCGCTGCGCCACCAGGGAGGCCCTGTTTCAAATGATTTGAGTAGCTTTTTTGTTGCATTTATTTAAGAAACTAGCTAATTTTCTACATGCTGGGCATTTTCACCTCCATTTTGTCACTTAAGCCTCATGACACCCTCGTGAAGAAGGTGAAATTAGTATTCCTGTTTTACACTTGAGGTGTCTGAGGATAAGAGATATTACCTGACTTGTCAAGGTGCCACAGCTAGTAATTATTAAAGATAGGCTTTAGGGCCTCCCTGGTGGCGCAGTCAATTGGGATGCAACCTGTGAAGCTGTCCGCAGCCTCTGCAGCACGAGTTTGATCCCTGTCCTACCTCTCCTAACTGGCCTGCTGCTACCCCCAGCAGCATATTTCTGTCAGTCTGCCTGTTCTGTTCCCTACTCTGTCTCTGGTGAATCCTCTCACCCCCCTGCACCTCTGGCCTGTACCCCAGCTCTTGTATGCATAAATAAATAAAACTTTAAAAAAATAAAAATAAAGGTAGGCTTTAAATCCAGGTGTCCTGGTGCCCGGTTACTTGCTTTTTCCTATACTGCTGAAGTCAGTATCTCTCAGAAAGGCTGTTTTTTTCCACCTATCTCAGGTCCTTTGGGTGGGCAGGTGACCTCCTCCTTCCTATAGTTCCTGTTGCTTCTTTGTTTCTCCTTCAAAATCCCTAGCTCCTCTGACATTTACCTTCTCATTCACTTAACACCAGGCTCTCTCTCTCCCTCTCAACAAAAGTTCCTGCCACTGTCATCTTTTTTAATTTTTCTGACTTCTCTATTGCCCTGGCTTTCCAGCTTTGTTCTATAATTACCTCTATGGCTATGCCTTATTAAATAATCTTGTAAAGATAAAGGAGGCATATGTTAAGTTCTTAATTCCATTATTTGTGCAATTCAAAAACTAAAAGGCAAGAAATGGGAGGCACTTGTCCCTCTTTTATGTTGTTAATTTTGCCTTTTTTTTTTTAAAGATTTATTTATTTATGCATACAAGAACTGGGGTACAGGCCAGGGGTGGAGTGTGGGTGAGTATGCCATGTGGGTAGCTCCCTGGCCACAGTGGATTGAACTTGTGCTGCAGAGGCTGCGGAGAGCTTCATAGTGCTGTGCTTAACCCCTTGCGCCACCAGGGAGGCCCTGATTTTGCCTTTCTGATTCATGACACCTATCCCTGTCATACCTACCAACACTAGCTACATGAGTTTTTACATATTTTAACTGTGGCTAAGTTTTTAAAGTTTTAATATATTATGTATTAAGTCTAAATTATTTAACACATTTTAAATATATTTCTTTTTCCTCCACTAGATCAAGCTTGGACATAGATCAGAAGCTAAAGATGGTAAGTATTTCATGTAAACTGACAGAACAGGAAATGTTTTTATTCTTACTGAGGAAATGAACAAAGTGTTAATTAGAGTTACCAAGGGTTGTAGATAGTTATTGCAGAGTCCCAGAGAATAAAGATAATTCTCAGGATGGAGACAGGATATTTGTGATTTCTACCCTTTGGTGCTCAGAGGAACATTCAAGTCACCTAAGTAAATGGAAGGTAGCAGGTTATTATTGGCTTATCTTGCTGTCTTTCTTCATTACTGTGTTAGGTGGTATTACAGTCATTGTTTTTCTCATCTTCTGATTACTTAGTGTATTCAGGATACACCTTCATGGAAGTCCACAAGCTCATGTTGGAAACGATGTATGGGGCATAAGATTTCTTTATCTCCCAAAGCCTTGTTTGCTAGAATATTAAATCCTGCTTAGTCATCAAAAAAAATTCCTGTATCTACTACTACTAGATCTTAATTTTGGATTCTATCCTTTGTTTTGGAAGAGATAATATCTTACTGCTAATTCACTGTTAGCATTAATAATCTGCTGCTAATATCCATAGGGCAAGATTTAATTAATTTACCACCTATATGCTACATACTTTATGCATTTTATTCCAGTAGTCTTCAGATCTGATTTGCTATTTAAGCTATTTTAAAAATAAAGCAAGGTTGACCTCCCTGGTGGCCGAGTGGTTAAGCCTCATTGCTGTCACTGCTACAGCCCTAGTACTATCCCAGCCAGGAAGCTGACCCACATGATGCTACAGAACTCTCCTGTCTTGTCTGCTGTTCCCTCAGCAGTGTATTTCAGTAGATCTGCCTGTTTTGCTCCCTACTCTCTGGTGAATCCTTTCACCCTCTGCACCTCTGGCCTACACCCCAGATCTTGTATGCAAAAAATAAAAACTAAAACAATGTAAGAGAAAAACAGACATGTCGTAAAATTTGTCTGTAGAATATCATTGCTATTTCCTGAGATATTAACAGTATCTGTCCCAAAAATATTGTTTGTAAGGCTTGAAATTTTAGATTTTTCACTTTTTGCTTTGTCTTTTTAATGTAGGTATAAACAGAACAGCCTTAAGAGAAATAAAATTATTACAGGAGCTAAGTCATCCAAATATAATTGGTGTGAGTATGCTCTAGGTTGTTTCTGGGATTTGGAACTCTGCCTCTTTCCTGAATGTGATAGATATTGATCAAAATCTCAGCAAGATGAGTTGTTCTAGATAAGCTTTGCAGAAAAACTTAAAAATTTATAAAGTGAAATATATTTTCCATCCTAATTATTCCTGTAAGCAGTGTCTGAAACTGTACAAATGAGGAAATAAGTATAGGCATATGGGCTAATTTAGTCAGAAATCATTTTGAAGCCTAAAAAGCTCTATCATATGTAAATCATGACCAAGTTTCTTAACTCTGTTCTATATTTTCTACTTTATCGGGCTATTATGATACTAGCAAAAGAGAATAAATGACAAATTTAATTAAATTATTTAAGCTTTATAGAGAATTATCAGCCGTCCAAATACTTATTTAATATTTAAAGATGTTTCACTTGACGTAGTACTGTCAAGAATCACATTTTGATGTTTTAAAATTCTACTTTGCAGCTTCTTGATGCTTTTGGACACAAATCTAATATAAGCCTTGTCTTTGATTTTATGGAAACTGATTTAGAGGTAAGACTAAGATTCCAAGAGGAATATTTTTTCTGTTTATCAAGAGAATCAAGTATTTATTTTCTTCACACGAAGATACTGATAGTGAAAAGTGCTTAATTTTGTTGAGATCTGGCTATATACTGATGTCAAAGTTCTTCTGAGTTCTTTCTTCTAAAGAACTATATTCCTAGTATTATATACAAAGATTTGGATTTAATTGTTTTTAAAGAAATGAATATTTGGCCTTTTAGATTCAGAGTTACTGTTCCATAGTACCATCCTTTTGAAACTGCATTTCTTTTTGAGAAAAATAAGACATTGTTTTGTTTTTTTTATTAATATTAATCGAATCTCAAAAACTGATATCCAAGGACGTGGAGCAGCTGGAATTCTCATTTACGGCCAGTGTAAAGGCAAAATGGTACAGCCATTTTGGAAAACAGTTTCACAGTTTCTTATATATTGATAGTTAAACATACACTTAAGGTATGATCTAGCAATACCACTGCTAGGTGTCTATCCAAGAGAAACAAAAACATGTCTATACAGAAATCAGATGGTACACAAATATTTAGTTTTATTTATAATTACCCAACCTGAAAACAGCTCAAATATCCTTCATCTAGTGAGGGTGTAAAGAAACGTCCATAAAAAGAGCACTATTTGGGAATAGAAAGAAACAACCTATTATTTGATGCAACAGTATAATTGTGATTCTGAAACACATCATACTAAATAAAAGAAGCCAGGCTCAAAAGACTATATTTTATGGTTTCCATTTGTATGATATTTCTAGAAAAGACAAAAGTAAAGGAAGTCAGATCAATATTGTTGCTGGTGCTGGGAATAAAAGGAAAGATTGAGAATAGAAGGGAACTATGGGAATTTTGAGAGGTTATTAAACTAATATTTTAATTATGGTGGTGGTTATACAACTAGATGTGGTTGTCAAAACTCACGGCACTGTACATCTAAACCTGATTTTTACAAAAAGAAATGAGAATTTGTACCATATTAGGACAAGACTAGGGATAAATGCCTTTAGGCATCGGTTACAAATAATGTCATCAATACTCAGTCTTGAGTTTATAAGTTGGCTCTATTTTCTTCTCTGTTGCCATCATCTATGGGAATAATTTCTCAGTCGTACTCCTGTACTTCCAGGCTTATATCCTTAGACCTTAAGAATCCCTGAAGAAAATAAATGCTTAAATCCTTGGATTCTAGCACAGGTACTTAAATTGATTGACTGACTTGACACAAGTCTTCCCCCAAGCTAGTCTCCTGGCCAACAGTCTTGCAGTGTGGTAATAGGCTGTGGCCTGGTTCATGTGTCTGCCTCTAGAGGCAAGGTGGTGGTCAGTCCTGTATTAACCATATGGACTGAGCAGGGAGTAGGTGGTTCTGGAAGGAATGTTCAATATTCTTATCAGAAGAGGCTGTCTGTAGTGGGGCAAGCAGAAACAACATATGTTTGCTGCATTTCATGCTTTAAAAGAAAGCAGTAGGAGACAAAGCACTGCTTTTTTTTAACCCCGAACCAAGGATAATTTCCCTAACCACATAACCACATCTGACAATGCTTCTAAGGAGGGTTAGGCAACCTGTCTTGAGATTCTTCTCTATGAATAAATTTATTTTATGTCTACAAATGATTTGTTTGGTGGAATTTACCTATGCTTTATATACCTACTAAACAGGTTATAATAAAGGATAATAGTCTTGTGCTGACACCATCACACATCAAAGCCTACATGTTAATGACTCTTCAAGGGTTAGAATATCTACATCAACATTGGATTCTACATAGGGTAAGGTGTTAACCAAATATGATTGTTTCTTTATGTTGTAGGCAAATTTTCTGTAGTAAGTTTACTACATAAAAGCCCTAACATGTAAATTATTGTTTTTGTGGGGTTTTTCTTTAATATGTAAATTATTGAAATAAAGATATAGTTGGGCCATTTCAATCCAACTGCTTCCTTTTCCCTTCCACTGTTCCATCAGATGGTGCTGGGAGAACTCTAAATTACTAAGTGAAATTTGGAAATGGGAGTGGTCTAATCCTTCATTTTTTTCATAGATGAAAAACTAAGTTGCAAAATGACCTCAACAAGGTTATATTATTTTTCAAGGTCAGTAGCTGATAACTGACAGTGTTAGAATCTGTATCTTTTGGCTTTAATTCAAATGTTCTTTGTGCTATACTGTTTTTTTTTGGGGGGGGAGAATTATGAGAGGATGGATTAAACTATACAATGCTAAAATACTTTTCGAAGAGTATTTCTAGTAGCTCTAAAATTCTATGAAGTAATGAAATAAAATTTCTGAAATGGCTGAGTCTTTGTTAGGAATTTTTAGTTGCTGGAACAAAGCTAATAATTTAGATAAGTGGATCTTCTTAGATAACTCAGCTTGTATAATTTTTAGTTAGTAATTCTCATAGATTAAACTTGGAATCCATTTTGGGTTTTTGTTACTACCTTTTTCATATTAGATTTTGAAGAATACGTTCCTCATCCTTTCTCAATGTGTTGTGTTGTTCATATATGTTGTTCTTATTAAATTAATAGTATCAGGGCCTCCCCGGTGGTGCAGTGGTTGAGCGCTGGGTTGCGAAGCTGCCCGCGGCCTCTGCAGCACCGGTTCAATCCCCGGCTGCTCCCCGGCCACCGGATGAGGGTCCCACATGGCGCGCAGACCTCTCCTGCCGCCCGCTGCTCCCCTCAGCAGTGTACTTCGGTCCTTCTGCCTGCTCTGCTCCCCGCTCTGGCTCTGGTGAATTCTCTCACCCTCCCGCGCTTCTGGCTGTACCCAGTGCATGTATAAACAAAACAAACAAATAAATAAATAAAAAACATGCCTCTATTTAAAAAAAAAAATTATTAAAAAAAATATTAATAGTATCAACCATTTATTGGGTGCTTACTATGAGTCAGTCATTACACTAGGCTCTTTACAAAAAGCATTAATCCGGGCCTCCCTGGTGGCGCAGCGATTGAGCTCTGGGCTGTGAAGCTGCCCTCAGCCTCTGCAGCGCGGGTCCTACATGGCGCAACAGACCTTTCCTATCTCGCCCCCTGCTCCCCTCAGCAGTGTATTTCGTCAGTCTGCCTGTTCTGTTCCTTGCTCTGGCTCTGGTGAATTCTCTCACCCTCCCGCACTTCTGACTGTACCCAGTGCTTGTATAAATAAAAATAAATAAATCTTAAAAAAAAAAAAAAAAGCCAAAATTCTACCTATTTAAAAAAAAAAAAATTAATCCTCACAGCAATTCTGTGAAGAATGTAATTGTAGTTTAAATCTAGGTTCTGACATTATCAGTTATCAGCTACTAAACTTGAAATTAGTTACCCTTGACTCAAGGTATCACTAAGTAGTAATATGATCAATATTTTGCAGTGATAGCATTTTACATCAATAAAAAAAATACTGATTATTGTTTAAATTTGAGGTATCACTCTATTGTTGCTAAGTTTAAAGTTAAGCCAACTTAACATGATATTCTCCCTCACCCTGCTTACTTGGTTGTTTAAAACCTCTATGATACAGGATCTAAAACCAAACAACTTGTTACTTGATGAAAATGGAGTTTTAAAACTGGCAGATTTTGGCCTGGCCAAATCTTTTGGGAGCCCCAATAGAATTTATACACATCAAGTTGTAACCAGGTAAGAATCTCTTAAATTACTAAAAGTTTCTTTTGTACAGATTATTAATCACAAATGAACATCAAATTGCTTTTCTGAAATACCTTGGCACAATTCTGGAATCATTGTTTTGTTAAAAGTAGAACTCGTCTGGGCCTCCACAGTGGTGCAGTGGGCTGAGCGCAAGCGCTGTGAAGCTGTCCACAGCCTCTGCACGCTGGTTCGATTCCTGGCCTGCCGGGGAGAAACCCACATGGCGTGGCAGACCTCTCCTGCCTCTCCTGCTGCTCCCCTCAGCACTGTCTTTGGTCCTTCTGCCTGTTCTGTCCCCCGCTCTGTCTCTGGTGAATCCTCTCACCCTCTCGCACATCTGGCCTGTACCCCAGTTCTTGTATGCATAAATAAATCAATCTTTAAAAAAAAAGAAATACTGATACATTCTAAAATGATAATTTTTTTTGTTCTTTAGGTGGTATCGGGCCCCTGAGTTACTATTTGGAGCTAGAATGTATGGTGTAGGTGTGGACATGTGGGCTGTTGGCTGTATATTAGCAGAGTTGCTTCTAAGGGTAAGACTTAAACTGATGTTCACAATTCAGTAGTGTTATATGTATTTTCATAAAAATTATGTCAGAGTTATCTTTCTAGAGAAGATTTCCAGAGAGGAGCACCATTCTTAACAAAAAGCCAACAAAGGGTTAAAAAAAAAAAAAACCTCCTCCAAATGCTAATATCAGATGAAAAGACTTCCCATTATCATCAATATGGAGATCAGGTGCTAGTGGCTTGGCAGGAGGTTGGTCTACAGTACTCTGTCATCCACCCCAGGGGATAGCCCTAGGCATAGCACAGTGCCTGTTAAATGGTAAAGTTTTATTGAATTTAAGATTTGCAGAGTGTATAAAGTGGTAGGTGTGTTATTGTTTACTTGGTTAACAGTGGCAATCTAATCCATATGCAGCATATGTCAGACTACGTTTTATCTTTGTTCATTTTTTAGTTGTTCTTACTAATTTTATAGTATTTTTCACTATATAACAGCTATCACAAATTATGTTTGAAATATCTGCCTCTTGCTTTCTTTCAGGTTCCTTTCTTGCCAGGAGATTCAGACCTTGATCAACTAACGAGAATATTTGAAACTCTGGGAACACCAACCGAGGAACAGTGGCCTGTAAGACTTCATATATTCTCTTTGAAATTTAGTTGGCATTCTGTAAAGTTATTCACTATGTAATGAAATTATCTGAAGTTGAAATTAAGTGTATGGAATTTCTTTTGTGCTATTCCTCAGCTGTCTATTCAAAAGTTTGTTATGTATTCTAACTGTAAAATATACCCTGGTACTGTCATTTATTAAGTACTTTTCTATATGCTTTTCATGGTAGGCATTTCATAAATTATATTTAATTCCTGCAACAATCCTATTAAGTGGTTACCATTTCTCCTATTTTACAGATGAGATGACTGAGTCTTAGTGAGGTTAAGTAACTTACCCAAGGATACTGCCCAGGGTCATAACCAGGACTGCATTCTAGGTCTTCAGACTCCAGAGCCTATGTTGATAGTATTTATTCTGTCCTTTTCTCTTTCATATAATTTGCTAAACATTTCTAAACATTTGCTAAACATGGTTAACAGTAATCATTGTATCAGTTAAAATACTGCACTGACATTTAAAAAGATTAAACTTCTTTGAGATTTACATGTAGTTGTAAGAAATAGTAATATAGATTTACATGTAATTGAAAGAGAATATATCTCTTATGTGCATTACTCAGCTTCCCAGAATGATATCTTGTAAAATTAGCACATCACATTCGTGGTGTTGACATTGATGATATTGAGAAATAGTACATCATCCCAAAGACCCCTTAAGTTGCCCTTTTATAGCAATACCCCTTATTCTTCCACCCCCACCTTCTTAATTCCCAGCAACCATTAATCTGTTCTTCATTACTATGGTTTTGTCATTTCAATAATACTAGAAATGGAATCATAATGCGTAACTTTGGGGATTGACCTTTTTCACAGTCAGCATAATTCTCTGTAGATTCATTAGGTTGTATGAATCTTCATGTCTTTTGCTTATTTTTTTAACTGGATTGTTTGTTTTTTTGACTGTTGAGTATTGAACTCCTTTTACTTTTTGGATACTAGTCCTCTTTTGCATATGTGATTTGCAAACGATTCCCCCCCCCCATACCTTGTCTTTTCATCCTTTGCATTTTTTTCAGAGTAAAAGTTTTTAATTTTGATGTCTATTTCATTGATTTTTTTTCTTTTTATGAATCATGCTTTTGTTGTCAAGGTAAAGAACTCTGCTTAACAGAGAAATTTCCTGATGATTTTCTTGTGTTTTTTTCCTAAAAAGTTTCGTAGTTTTACATTTAAGTCCATTACCCCTTTTCAGTTAATTTTTATGTGATGTTAGAAACTTATTTTAAGCATTCTTTTTTTGCTTGTTTATGTTCAGCTATTCCAGCACCATTTGTTGAAAAGATTATTCATTGAATTACTTCTGCAAATCTGTCAGAAATCAGTTGCACATATTTGTGTGGATCTAGTTCTGTATTTTCTGTTGTGTTCCAGTAATCTGTCTATCCTTCTGCCAGTACTGCAGATTAATTCAAATAGTTATCTATTAAGACTCCAAATCAAGTAGACTGATTCCACTAACTTGTTTTTTTAGAGTTGTTTTAGCTATTCTAGTTTCTTTGCTTTTTCATATAAATTTTATAATTATAATTTGTCAGAATTTTGATAAGAATTATGTTAAACCTATTTATCAGTTTGAGACTTGACATCTTTGCGGTGTTGAATCTCCCAGTCCATGAACATAAGTGTCATTTTTTTGTTTAGAACTTTTATTTCATCAGTGTTGTATAACTTTCATTGCACAAGTAAAACATATTGTTAGATTTTCACCTAAGTATTTCATTGTCCTTTTTGAATGATTTAAAATGGCTATTATTAAGTTCATTGTCAACAGGTAATCATTGTCACTATGTAGAACTAAATTCACTTTTATGTACCAATCCTGCAAACTGACTCTGATCACTACTTGTAGAAGTTTCAAAATAGATTTCTTGGGACTTTCTGCTTAGATCATCATTTTCATATGACTCTTTTATTTTACTTCATTTGAGTTCTCTGTACCTCTAAACCTTTTACTTAAATTTGAAATATAAAAATATTTTTACAGGACATGTGTAGTCTTCCGGATTTCGTGACATTTAAGAGTTTCCCTGGAATCCCGTTACAGCACATCTTCATTGCAGCAGGAGATGACTTGCTAGATCTCATACAAGGCTTATTCTTATTTAATCCATGTACTCGAATTACAGCCACACAGGTATTTTAGTGTATGTTTCTTATACTAGGAAATGGGATAATCTTAACTAAAGCACTCATAAAATGAGAATTTCATAAGATTTTCTACGTATTTTAAGTATTGGAAAGATGTGTTTTAAGGAATAGTAATTTTTTATTTTTCCCCAAACTATAAGGACTATTCAGACTTATATTAAATTATATAATGCACAAACAATTATACGGGAGTTTACACTTGGTTTTGAAAATATAAATATATGTCTATATCATTAATTGGTTTTAAAAGTGGTGTTTATGTAGAAAGGGGTTTCTGTATTTGTTAAGACACTGATATGTTTCAGTTAAACTCTTTTTTTTTTTTTTTTTTTTTAAAGATTTATTTATTTATTTATACAAGCACTGGGTACAGTCAGAAGCACGGGAGGGTGAGAGAATTCACCAGAGCCAGAGCAGGGAACAGAATAGGCAGACTGACGAAATATACCGCTGAGGGGAGCAGCGGGCGTGACAGGAGAGGTCTGTCGTGCCGTGTGGGACCCTCGCTGGTGGCCAGGAATCGAACCGGCGCTGCAGAGGCTGCGGGCAACTTCTCAGCCCAGCACTCAACCACTGTGCCACCAAGGGAGGCCCGTTTCAGTTAAACTTATATATTAATTTAAATGTTGTACCAAGCCTTATACCAAAAGTGTTTTTGTTATATTTCCCATAAAAGGGAACTTAGATATTGCATATTGGTCATTGTCACAGTCAGCTTGAGTTCGATCCCCGGCCTGCCAGGGAGCAACCCACATGGCGAGGCAAACATCTCCTGTCTCGTCCGCTGCTCCCCTCAGCAGTGTATTTCAGTAGATCTGCCTGTTCTGTTCCCCAATCTGTCTCTGGTGAATTCTCTAACCCCCTGCATCTCTGGCCTGCACCACAGCTCTTGTATGCATAAATAAATAAAAATAAAATAATCTTTCCTTTAAAAAAATATTTATTTATGCATACAAGAACTGGGGTACAGGCCAGAGGTGTAGGGGGTGGTGAGAGGATTCACCAGAGACAGAGTGGGAAACAGAACAGGCGGATCGACTGAAATACACTGCTGAGGGGAGCAGTGGGCGAGTCAGGAGAGGTCTGCTGTGCCATGTGCCTAACAAAACATGTTAATGCACAATATATCAAGGCTAAAGTGAATTATCCAAAAGGAAATTTCTTAAATTATTGTGGCTAGTGAATATTACTACAATGCAAATAAAGTATGAATTTGTCATTTAAAATAAAATATTTTTATTGGAATTTTAGACTGAAGTAAAGAAATACCAAATTATAGGACACTAGATTTGAAGATTTATGTATGTATGTATGTATGTATGTACGTATTTATTTATACAAGCAGTGGGGACAGTCAGAAGCTCGGGAGGGTGAGAGAATTCACCAGAGCGGGGAGCAGAGCAGGCAGAAGGACCAAAGTACACTGCTGAGGGGAGCAGCGGGCTGCAGGAGAGGTCTGTGCGCCATGCAGGACCCTCCTCCGGTGGCCGGGGAGCAGCCAGGGATTGAACCGGCACTGCAGAGGCTGCGGGCAGCTTCGCAACCTAGCACTCAACCGCTGCGCCACCGGGGAGGCCCAGGACACTAGATTTGTAGTAATAGAACAAACCTCGGACAAAGCCTTTCAAGTGAAACTTCTGTCAATTTGCAGTGAATTGTTAGGTTTTAGCTCGTTTCCAACAGCCCGTTTCCACATCTTTTTAGAAGTTTTAGTCTCATGAATTTATATGATTTGGAATTTGATATATATATATATATCTGTATGTGACATGAATTTAAGTTACCTTTAAGCAAGTTTCTCTCTTTAAATTTTGTAGAGATGTGTAGAGAGCTGAATTATCCAATGTCTAACTAAGAATATTTTATATAGACTTTTTTTTTTTTTTTAAAGATTTATTTATTTATTTATACAAGCACTGGGTATAGTCATAAGTGCAGGAGGGTGAGAGAATTCGCCAGAGCCAGAGCGGGGAGCAGAACAGGCAGACTGATGAAGTACACTGCTGAGGGGAGCAGTGGGCGTGGCAGGAGAGGTCTGCATGCCATGTGGGACCCTTGCCCGTGGCCGGGGATCGAACCCGCACTGCAGAGGCTGCGGGCAGCTTCACAGCCCAGCGCTCAACTGCTGCACCACCGGGGAGGCCCTCATGTAGACTATTTTAACTATGGAAAAATTAGAAGATGATGTCGTTTTCTTAGCCAGTCTTATGCTGCTAGATATTTATTTGTAATAATTTGCATGTTCAAATGCTTGAAATTAATTTTGTTTTGGGAAAAGGGTTCTTCACATAATATACTTAGGCTCCCAATAGTTTTGGAGCTTTGATTTTCTTAAACACAGTTCATATTCCAACTTAAAAATCTTTTTTTTTTTTTTGCGGGGGGGGTGTTTTTTCTTTTAAAAGGCATTGAAAACTAAATATTTTAGTAACCGGCCAGGGCCAACACCTGGATGTCAGCTGCCACGACCAAACTGTCCAGTGGAAACTTTAAAGGAGCAGTCAAATCCAGGTGTGGCAACAAAGCGGAAGAGAACAGAGGCCTTGGAACAAGGTAAAAACTCTATTTTCATAAGGAATGAAATGAAGTCAGAAAACTCCACTAATATATAGTGACAGAAGGCCAGCTAAGAAATGTAGATTGTGAGTTATTTGCTTTTTTAAATTTAAATGATAAAAAAGTAAATAAATTTTAAATCATGAGTAGACACAAGCCTTATTTACTTCCATTGAGAATGTTTAATAGCATGCTCTAGAGAGGGACATGGACACTTATGAGTATACCTCATAATTATGAGGTATATTGTTCTTGTCATGAACTCCTAATGGTACACTGTTTGCTTATGTTTCGTAAGTGCTTTGGAAAATCAAATCAAGTAAATAAGTATAGGTGGGATGCAATGACTGTTTAAAATTGCCATAAGATTACCTGTGAACCACCTCATTTTTTTCCCCCCCAGGCGTATTACCCAAGAAGCTAATTTTTTAGTTACAGAGAACACTGGACAGTATTTTACTACTGAAGAAAATAGTCCAAAATACAAATAATGGAAAAATAGTAAATGTTAAGTAAATGCTGTAGAAGGAATCTGTAAATATTCTACACATGTAAAATATATAAACTGTTATTTTTATTAAATATATTTTAAAACAAACAATTCTGATTTCTCTGATTGGATTACAAAGGTAAGACAGGCTCAGTTCTCTGAAATGTTGAATTGAAAATGCATTAAGAAAACTTTAATAAAAATAATTATCAGTTGTTCTGATGATCTGATCTATACAGCATCACAAATTTGACTAGGAGTAGTATTTAAAAGTGGAAAAATAGTAGTAATGTAGCAAACACTTGCCTCTACTACCCAGACTTAACAAATGTTAATATATGAAATAGGAAAAAAAGAAAACATTATAGCTAAAACTGAGGTCCTCTAATATGTCCTTCTGTTCTATAGCCTCCCTTTCACCCTCATCAAATAGAAGACTGTCAGGAAATGAGTGTCCTCCCATGATTTTATACTGCTCTATATACTGCTTCAGTGCATGTAGTAATAGTAATATTACTAAATACTAGTATACTATAAAATATTATAGCAATGTTTTGGGTCTTAAAATTTTATATGAATTATAGGCTATAATTTTTGTTTACTCAAAACTTTAGTTTCTTCCATGTTAATGCATGTAAATCTATTTAACTCCATATAATATATAATAATATACTTTATGTATTCAATGCTATTTACCCATGCTCTATTTACAGACTGCTCTTTTTCTTTTGCTGAGTAAAATAAATATCGTAAAGCAGCTTAAAGTAACACAGTTTATTACTCAATTCTGTAGGTCAGCTATCTGGCATGGCTCACTATTTTTTGCATGGGCCAAAATCTCATGAGGCCATAATGAAGGTGTCAGTCAGACTGGGCTCTTTCCTGAAATTCTAGGAAAGCATTTGCTTGCAAGCTTATTCAGTTCTTGCAGGTTTTTGTTTTGTTTTATTTTGTTTTTAAAGATTTATTTATATAAGAACTGAGGTACAGTCAGAGGCGTGGGAGGGTGAGAGAATTCACCAGAGACAGAGTGGGGAGCAGAACAGTCAGACAGACGGAAGACACTGATGAGGGGAGAAGCTGGCAAGGCAGGAGAGGTCTATCGCATCATGTGGGTTTCTCCCTGGCCAGCAGGGAATCGAACACGCACTGCAGAGGCTGCGGACAGCTTCACAGCGCGGTGCTCAATCCGCTGAGCCACCAGGAGTTCTTACAGTTTTAATGCATGTGCCACCTTTACTTGCTGGGTCACCCAGGAGCCTCACTCAGTTTCTCAAGACAGTCCAAAGGACTTGTCACCTGCTGCTCCATCTGCAAGCCAGCCACAATGTGTCAAGTCACCCATATCTTGCTTTGAAATCTACTACCAAGAGAGAAAATTGTTATTTCTTTTCTTTCCTTCTTTTAAAGAAGAGCCCTCCTTTGATTGGGTCATCCTTATATTAAGGTCAAGTCACTCAGTTACATCCTTACAATTCCTTCACAGCAGTACCTAGATTAGTGCTTAGAATGGGAACCTTGAGAGGGCCACCTTTCAAATTCTGCCACAATGACATTTAGATTTTGTATTTTTTTCACAACTATAAATGGAATATTTATATACATATGCGATTTATTTATTTATATAAGCACTGGGTATAGTCAGAAGCGTGGGAGGGTGAGGGAATTCACCAGAGCCAGAGGGGAGACCAGAGCAGGCAGACTGGCGAAGTACACTGCTGAGGGGAGCAGCGGGTGGCAGGAGAGGTCTGCGCACCTTGTGGGACCCTCACCCGGTGGCCGGGGATTGAACCGGCGCTGCAGAGGCTGCAGGCAGCTTCGCAAACCAGCACTCAACTGCTGCACCACCAGGGAGGCCCAAATTATACATTTTCTTTTTAAAGATTTATTTATTTATATAAGAACCGGGGTACAGGCCAGATGCACGGGAGAGTGAGAGGATTACCAGAGACAGAGTGGGTAACAACAGGCAGACTGACGAAATACACTGCTGAGGGGAGCAGTGGGCAAGACAAGAGAGGTCTACTTCGCCATGTGGGATTCTCGCCGTCCGGCTGGGATCGAACCCTCACTGCAGAGGCTGTGGACAGCTTCACAGTGTGGCGCTCAACTGCCTGCGCCACCAGGGAGGCCCAAAATTACACATTTTCAATCAATGTTGATTTGCCATTCTTCTCCAAAGTAGTATCAATTCATACTCCCAGTAGCTGTCAGTTGTTCTTAAAAATAAAGAAAGCCCTTTACTTTAGAGAATATGCAAAAATTAACTCAAAATGGATCAAAGACCTGTAAGACCAATAACTATAATAAACCTTAGAAGAAAAACACAGGGTGGGAAGAAGCTTCATGATATTAGGTTTGGCAAGGGCTTCTGGGCACCAAAAGCATAGGCAACTAAAGTAAAAATAGACAAACTGGACTATGTCAAAAACAACAAAAAAAACCTTATGCATCAAAGGACATGAAATCAGCAGTGAAAAATGCACCCTACTGAATGAGAGAAAATATTTGCAAATCATATATCTGACAAAGTGTTACTATCCAGAATATATGAAGAACTCAGCTAATCAGTTTAAAAAAATCTGATTTAAAAATTGACAAAAGATTTGAATAGACATCGTACTGATGATGATATAGAAATGGCCAACAAGCATAGGAAAAGATGCTCTGTATCACTGATCAGTAGGGAAATGCAAGTGAAAACCATGAAAACATACCATATCATATCCAAGTGTTTGCAAAGATGTCAGGAAAGTTGGAACATTTGTGCACCATTGATGGGAATGTAAAATTGTGCAATCACTATTTTAACACTTTAATTTTGGTATTGTAAATAATCCCAGGACTTTCATTTCCTTACCTTTTAGCTTATATAAAATTATTATATATATTAGATCTGTTTATGTTATTTACACCCTATTCCATTGATCTGCTGGTACCACGTTACAAGCTTTATATTACTAGCAGAATAATATATTTTTGATGACTGGTAATAGTACTTCCTCATTCCTCATCAAAATTTATCTGTGAATTTTTAGCTTTTACTATTAATGCCTAATACAATTATAACACAATTATAAATGGCTAATATTGTTATCTTATTACCCTATTGTCATCTCACCTATTTAAATAGTAGTGTAACCATCTTTTTTTTTTCTGACTAGAAATTCTAGCACGCAAAATTTTTATTGCAACTTAATTTAATGCATTTGCTTTGACATAATATAGCAATATTCCTAACAGGTATTACAGATTATTGCTATGTAATATTTGTAGAAAGAAAAAATTAAATGGCCTAAAGTACACCATCAAAACCAAGGACTTAGTTCAGAATTGTTTGAGGGCCAGAATTCAGTGAAGATATTGCCAAAATGTCATCAATCCATCAAGATGAGAAATTATGATGGTAGCTAGCAATAACTTTGAAGTTACTTCTACCAGAAACCCATCATTATATATATTTTTATATATATATATATATTGTAGTTAACCTTTATAAGATAAATGAAATATTCTGAAAAACAAAAGACATACATCTTTCAAAAATTAACACTCAGTCACTTCTATACATTCTTAATTTTTGTAGCGCATCAGTGTACATTATATTGTTGCTTTAGCTGGAGATCCCTATAGTCAATCTAGGTAGTTAAATAATTTCTTGTTTTTTTCAATATCACTCTTTTAAGATGTTGGCAAATACTGACAACTTCATTATATATAATAATACAATTTATAAATAAAATACATGAATACCAAATACTAAATTTCTTACAGACAACATAAGTATTTAAGTTGCCTCCTAAAGTTTAGAAATACCAGAAAACATCCAACTTGTCAAGATGTAGCAAAATTTATACAATCCTTTTTTTTAGTATCTTGATATAAACACGTCTCACTTCTAATTTCAAATGGTTTAACTTCAAAACATGATACTTGAAGGTAAAGAACAGGATCTTTTAAGAGTTCTCGTATGGTTTTGATCTGTATGAAGGTGCTGGACGGAACAAATGCAGCTCATAGAATTAAAACTTTGAACACTTGAATGTACAGGATCACATAAAACAGAGAGTTCTGAAATATTCTGACAGAGGGGTTTTAATGGAAAAATGTCTCTTAGAGAATTTTTTTCTTCATTCTCTTTTGAGGAGGTCTCTTTGTTTTCCAGTGCCCGAGCAAGCATGTAGCTAACTTTTCTTTGATGAGCCAGAGCTTCTTCTTTATCATTCAACTGCATATACAGAAATTTAAAATTTAAAATCTATTAGCATCTTAAAAATTAAAAATTTCAAATTTAAATTACATACCAAAAGTCAATACAATGTTAAAGAGCTGTATTAAGAGAAAAAAGTATTTTATCAAAATGTCAAGTCTGTCAAGTCAATCAGTACGAATAAATTAGCTAGGTGTCCACAATTCCCAAGCATTACACTACATATTAAAGATTTTTCTTAAAGGAAGAACAGAAAACAGCATTCCTTCTCATAATTTTAACTCATCTGATGAGATGGGGGAGTGGAATATGTGTGTGTGTATACATATATACATACATATACACACAATGGAAGACCTATAAATAAATATCAACCTACCTAAAAGAATGTTAAAGTTACATATAATTGTTTCATCTATTTACATGCAAATTAACACTTCTAGAGACAAGTACATTCATATTATATGTCTTAGTTTAGTCATTTGTGAAATGGGGTAACAGGACTGATTTCATGGATGAGGAAATGATTCAAGGATATCATGTAGTAAGTGCCTTACATACCTTAAAAATTCCTGAATAAATATAAGAACACATCATGAACAGTATAAGAGCAGATGGCAGAGGTTCCTGGATTTAATTAGGGGGAGCCCCCTCTTTCCAAAGGTGGACCTTTAAACTTGCACAGGAAGAACGTGAAAGGGAGAAGTGCAAAAGAGCATACAGGGAGTTCAAGGAGATGAAATTCCTAAATCTGGAAGAAGGTACCTCAGCTGGGAAAAGGGCATACAAGGCTAGAGTGATAAAGAGTTGAATTAATAGGAAGCAAAAAGATAAACATCTCTAACAAAAAAAAACAAGCAAAGATACTAACCAAATCTATTAGCATCTTAAAGACTTCTTGAGGATTATCCTGGTCTTCAGTCTTCTTAGAACTGTAATCTGAAGGGAGCATACCCAACAGTTTCTGTCTTAAGGTATTTTTACTCCTTTGTGATGACAGTTCTAAAATTGAACATGAAAATCCAGCTGAGACATAAAAATACACTCCCTGATAAACTCCAGAAAAAGAGGTAAGTGTGAACCAACGCTAAGTCATTCCTAAGTCATTCAGAAGGTTATCCTCTTCAGGAAATCTTTAGCAGGAGTGAGTTAGGTAACCGTGAGTGAAAAAAACAGACTGTTAGAGCTGGGACCATGAAGCAGTTGAGAGGGATGCTATGTGGTAACCCAGAGCGCACCCTTGCTGCTCTGTCTCATCACACAGATGCACCTCAGCTCCCAACAACAGCTGTCCTGGAGAAATGCAGCCCTTGTAACGACATCATCTCAGACTTCCAGCCATGAAATCTTCCCATTTAAAATGTCAGCCACTTAACCTACTTTGAGAATACTGCAGACTCAACAAAACATGGCTGCAGGCCACAGGATGCCTCTGAACCGTGTAATCTGCTTTAAAGCCAGAAAGATTTGGACTCAAATTCTCATTTAGCCACTTAACTATGACCTTGGATGAGTTCTCTGAGCTTCATTTCCTTATCTCTAAAATGAAAATAATAGTACCTAATCCTCAGGTTTGCTGGTGCAATTAAATAATATAGCACAGGGGCTGGGGGAGGAGAGTGGGCAATTAGTGTTTCATGAGTCCTGCGTTTCTTTTGGGGAAGATGAAAAAGTTCTGGAGATACATTGTGATAGTTACATAACAATGTGAATGTACTTATGTCCCTTAAAAATGATGAAAATGGTAACTTTTATATATATTTTACCACAATAACAAAAATACAGTTGTGAAAGGGCCTAGCCTAGGTACTAGCATAATATTTAAACTCCATATCCTGAAATATGCACACTGATGTTCTTCAAATGTAAGTAGGAGGCAGTTTGTTGTAGAAGGTACAAAATTTTTGTATTTTTATACAAAGAAAAAATTCAAGATTGTTTTTAAATTGCCCTGCAAATGGTCTGATGGAAAACAGAGCAGCTAAAGGACAATCCTCTTTCCACCCAGTCCTTATAAGCCAAATTGATGGGCTCCCATTATCCTGACCTCTCCCTCAAGCAACTGGGACAAAGGGGAAATGCCAGATCAACTGACTCACTCCTCAACTTTGTGAGTGGAACAAACTGTTTTCGTTTTCTACAACAAAAAAATCTTCTCACCATCTATCTTTGAGAATTTGTCTCAGCTGCCATATCAAGAAAAATTGATACCCTAAGTGTTAACCACACATAAAAAAATGACTTTCTAACAGTCATCCCACATCCCTTCAGATTATTGAAATGACACTGATGAAAAGAATCAAAGTCATCACTTAAGAACTGAAGTGAGAAAGAGGTACTGAAATGTGTATGGAACTGTAAAAGATTTTCACAGATAAATCAATTATTTTAAATTCTACTCCAGTCTCGCTCAGTGAATGCTTTAATGGAGCAAAGATTGGGGGACTATACTTCTCAAGGATATTTTCTATGGAAAATTTCCTTAAGTTTGTTCACAGCTAGGAAAAACAGGATTTCTCGAAGGTAGTAAGAACACACAACAACATGATGAAATGAATATGAATGTATGTCTTAAGGAAAATCTACATAGCACTCTCCTTATGGCCACCATCCATGCACAATGGAGGGGACCTTCCAAGCAAGTGACAATGTCACAGGCTTTCTTAAGATTACTTAAACTCTTCTTTACGCCCATTATTCTTTTTTACTCTTTTCTCTGCCTTCCATCCAAACAAGATCAGATTTCCAAAGGGATTTGCCTTCAATTAACAACATAAAACATCAAGCCATGGAAGAGTATAACTGAAAATATTGCATTCCAGCTCCATGGAAGGCCTAGCCTAGAAAGGTGCCTGAGGAAGACACCTACACATTTGTTGTCCATGGTAGAACTAATTATGCTTAATGTTTTTATTCAGTGCCTAAAAGGTTAAATACATGGAACATGTTAGGTTATTTCCCTTGAGAGTTTCCCTTTAATTATCTAGTTCTCTTAAATTTTTTTCTACTAAATATGGTCTGTTTACATGAAGTTAAAAAAAGTACTTGAATAAGAGAGACTCCTGTTCTTTCATATTTTGCTAATCCCAATAGCTCAGCTGTGTATGTAATAGCCAATGAGTCCTCTTACCCATAGTGGCTAAAATTTTAAGTAAATTACACAAATAAATGTGACATTTCAACCATATTCTCCCACATCAATTTACCACGCTTAACTTTGATTTTAAGCAAAAAAACTGAAATTACACCTGATTATTGCCATTATAATTCATATTTACCATCCTCTTTAAGGTGCTTCCAATTTACCCGTTTTGTTGCTTTTTTACACATTTTATCCATTTGTGTCAATCTTAGTGCCTGGTCATTTTTCCTCATTAGTTGTTGTTCAAATGCAATTCTGAATGCATCTGCCATTATGTAAGCTTCTTCTTTACTCTTCTGCAAAAGTTCCAACTGGTTTAAAAAAAAAAATTTGGGAGGTGTTAGAGACAAAACCAGAACCGTTCTCAACTGAATTGAACTGATTAACAAAGGCAATCTCCCTGCCTCACATGGGTCTACTGCCCGTTTAAACTAATTAGTAGTTGCCAGTCTTCTGCAGTAGCTGCCCACAATGTCCTAGATTACCAGAAGTTATCCTTGTGATGCCCATCAGCTCCCTGCTGATTCAATTCTTGACCTCTCTACCCTAAATGAGCTCTGTATGTGCCCTGCCCAATAAGGAAAAAGGGAAGGTGCCAAGGTTGTCTCAATTCTGCCTTGAGCCATTACAAATAATACCTCCAAAAATAATTTTGAATGTCACCTTTCAAATGCTACCCATAGCTGAGCCTAACTCTGATGTATGTAATCGATGCTTTTCCTATGAATTGCTAATGTTTAGGTGGTCATTTTCCTACATACTCTGAAGACTTTAAATTCCATACTGTCAATGAAGGTAAACTTTTAAAAATTTCATTGTTACTGAGGTCTAACTATAATGGCAGCTATCATTTGAGGTAAATGTCAGGTGTTCACAGCACTGCATGAAACATGTCACTTCCTCTATTTCTCACAACCCTCTACATTCCCCTCTACTTAACATGTGTCCAAAGCTAGCAGCTAGAAAATAATGGAGCTAAGACTGAGGCCTACCTCTGGTGGGTACAAAGGTTCCTTCCATTGTGCCTTGCAACTTTCTAACATATTTATCTCCCCATTAATCAGTGTTGCAGAGCCTAGAGATTTTAAGTGTTAAGTGCACCTTTTCCTCTAACATAATAGTATTAGAGCCACATATATACAAAAGAAGTAAGAATTTAGCAGTAACTACAAACTTAGGTAAGCAAATTTGCATGGCTAACATATAGTGCCAAGTACTAATTATATTTTGGAGCCACGTAAACAAAATTAAATTTATTTACAAGTGAGACTATCATAAAATTAAGCAAAAGTTCCATAATCAGTGACTACTAAAATGAAGCTAATTATTGCATATACTGGTTCCATGATTTGACTACTGCTTGGGAAGCAAACCAAAGCTTTTAGTGTGCTGATAGTACAGTACCTCTTGTTTGAGCTGAAGAAGCATCTTTCGAGTGGATGCTGCCATTTTGGCACAGGAACAGGGGCTCCCTCTGGGACCACGACAAAGGCAGGCGCCAAGGACTGCAAGCTTTAAAACCAAAAGCATTAGGGCCTCCCCGGTGGCGCAGGGGTTGAGCGCTGGGTTGCGAGGCTGCCCACAGCCTCTGCAGCACCAGTTTGATCCCAGGATGCTCCCCGGCCACCAGAGGAGGGTCCCACATGGTGCGCAGACCTCTCCTGCTGCCTGCTGCTCCCCTCAGCAGTGTACTTCGGTCCTTCTGCCTGCTCTGCTCCCTGCTCTGGCTCTGGTGAATTCTCTCACCCTCCCGCACTTCTGACTTGTATAAATAGATAAATAAATTAAATTAAATTAATCTTTAAAAAAAAAAGCATTAATCCTGTTACTGTCACATTGGTTAGCTGCTACAAAGGGCACACACACACATATGCACATTTCTTTTCAATCACCTGATTCAAAGAAACTGAAAAGGAAAACAAAAATTGAAGAAAGCTGAAGATCAGGATTTCAGGTTCCAGATGGAATTTTTTTTAAAAAGACAGAAATCCTACCTTCTTATCAATCTCTAAAACCTTTATCCTGGCACCAATTTCCTATAGAAATTAGGCATTGGCAGGGACTTGATCTAATGAGGTAAATGTTAACATCCACAATGTGGATTTCCTGTGACTGGGCGTGGCCTTGCTGCCCAGCCTTCACTGCTGCCAGGTCCTGGCAGGGAGCATTGCATGCTCAAAAATGATGAGTGAATTTTTTTTTTTAAGATTTATTTATTTATGCACACAAGAACTGGAGTACAGGCCAGAGGTGTGGGGGGTGAAAGGATTCACCAGAGATAGCGTGGGGAAAAGAACAGGCAAACTGACTGAAATACACTGCTGAGAGGAGCAGCGTGCAAGTCAGGAGAGGTCTGCTGTGCCATGTGGGTCACCTCCCTGGCTGGGGATCGAACTCGTGCTGCAGTGGCTGCGGACAGCTTCATAGATTGCGTCTTAACCCCTTGCGCCACCAGGGAGGTCCATGATGAGTGAATTTTAATGTCAACGAGGAAAATAGTCATTCCTCTATGCCAAGAAAATACGTCATTATATAACATATATTTAAGTATTTCTTCACTCATGCGTTGTTCTGGAATTAGGTGTGGGCCTGCTCTCTCAACACCAGTCTGTGCAACACAATGAAGAAAATAGTCCACAAAATGGGTCATTTTTGACTGACCACTGTAGCTACTAGAAAAGTAAGAATTACATTTTTTACACCTAGTTTGGCAACTAGCCACACATTCCTCGCCCAACATATTCCAATAAGCATCAACTTAATGGTGGCAGTCTGTAACAAAATGTGAGGTATCTTTAAAGTTTCATGTGGAACTTAATATAAAATTGTTGTCTAAGTTTCCTATTGCTGTAAATTTCACGTGGATGAGTGGCTTAAATCAACTGCCTCCTTTAGTGTGAAGGCTATTTCAAAAATCTTTTCTATATCAAAGATAATTGTGAAGCATGTAGCTTTCAGTTGACTAGAGTGTATAAATGGTGGCCACGGCAGATTGGTGATTTCCCTTCTCGTTTTCCTGCTCCCAATAACTGCCCCTGTGAAAGCTGCCAGAAGCAACTTAAGCTTAAGACCTGGGGAAGGCCAATATAAAAATGCTAAGTTTTTGCAAGGACCTCTGAATCCTAATTCTACTTCCTTACTTGGTCTCATGGCCCATTTACAATAATTTTTTTTAAAGATTTATTTATTTATGCATACAAGAGCTGGGGTACAGGCCAGAGATGCGGGGTAGGGGGGAAGGTGAGAGGATTCACCAGAGACAGAGTGGGGTACAGAACAGGCAGACTGACCGAAATACACTGCTCAGGGGAGCAGCAGGCGAGACAGGAGAGGTCTGCTGTGCCATGTGGGTTGCTCCCTGGTCGGAGATCGAACTCGTGCTGCAGTGGATGTGGATTGCTTCATTGTGCTGTGTCTTAACCCCTTGCGCCGCCAGGGAGGCCCCTACTTTTCCTTTTTACTAGTACACCAGTTTTCCACCCACGCAGTAAAGCATGGTATGTGGAAGCACAGTTTCTAAAGTCAGTCTACTTGGGTACAAATCCTAGCAAATCACTTAGTAGTTGTGTGACTTTGCCAAATTAGTTAACCCCGCAGTGCCTCTGTTACCTCATTTGTAAAACAGGGATTACAATAGTACTAACCTTACGGGGTATGGAGTAGTGGCAAGAATTAAATGTGTAAAACTATGTAAAGCACTTAGAACAATATTTGACAATTACTCAGGATAGCTGTAAGTGTTAAAAGTTAAAGTACTCTAGCACTGTAGGCCTCTCCCCAGGTTAGATACTAACATAACCTCTACTACAATTATTTAAAAAAAGCAGGGTGTGTGCAGAAAGTGGCTAGTACCTCCCTTGATGTCATATCAGCAGGATGAAGAACTGGTCTGTACCTCTTTTACTCAGTCACACATTACTAAGTGCAGTATTAACTTAGAACATGTGGCAGGTGAGGGCGTGGAAAGAAAAGTAGAAAATGTCTCTCTCTCCTGTTCAACTTTCACACCTGCTCACCTACCTCGAGACCTGAAACCTCTGTGAAGCCACTATTATCTTGGCACATGTTTTCCTGAACTATCTTCTGTTGTTTGATATCAAGCATGGCGAGGGCCTCCAAATACTGTTGATTTAAAACTAGGAAGGACCAAATAAAAAAGCATTAGCAATGAGGTCTAACTCTAGCCCTGCCTGACCTAGTTACACCAACATCTTATACTTCTTATAAACTGCAGAGAGGGAGATAATACGTATGTAACGCTAGATAAAATGTTACTTTTAACATGGAAGTAACATAACTTTGCAATCAAAGTCTGGTCTTTATTTGCTCTTAAAAATTTGTTGGATTTTTAAAAAGAGAACTTACAACAGGAAATTATTCACAATCTTTGTGTATGAGAGGATAAGACCTCATAGACTGTATTATTGTCAAATGTACCAGCTATTTGAATTCTCTCCAATTTTTCTAGTGAAGAGTTACCACAAGAGGTTTTCAAACCAAACAGAACTGGAAGAGTCCTTCTCGCTACTGGAGAGCAGAAAACTGCCACCTCAAAAGAATTTTATATTAAAAAACTAAATGATTCATTTCTATTATACTTGAAATATATCACTACACATTACTATTGATACTGATAATATCTAAATCGATATGTGTGTTCTTAACATAGGACACTCTCTAAATTTAATATTATTTTTGAAAAATCATCAAAATAGCACTACTTACTTGCATTTTTAGACATTAGCATTTTAACTTCTTCTGTTTTCAGTTTCAAAGTTTCCTTCAGGACTGTATTTTCACAATTTAGCCTAGAAAAAAGTATTCTCTAAATCACTAAAAAATTCACATTTGATGGTTAAGTGAGAATATTTTTATCCCAAAATCAGAATACAAAACCCCAAATATAATTTTCCTACTTGAAAACCATCTAGAGTTTTATGTTTGTATAAAATAATTTAGAGAAATGTGATAAGATTTTTTTTTTTAAGATTTATTTATTTATACAAGCACTGGGCACAGTCAGAAGCGCGGGAGGGTGAGAGAATTCGCCAGAGCCAGAACAGAACAGGCAGACTGACAAAATATACTGCTGAGGGGAGCAGTGGGCGGCAGGAGAGGCCTGCATGCCATACTAGCAGCCGGGGACCGAACCAGCACTGCAGAGGCTGTGGGCAGCTTCACAGCCCCAGCACTCAACCGCTGCGCCACCAGGGGAGGCCCTGTGATAGGATTTTGAATATACTCTTAATCCTTCTTAGTCAAAAAACAATCAGAAGCAGAAGTGCCTATAAAGCACCCATTTTGAGTACTTACTCTCTTTACTAAAGTTTTAATTTAGGGCCTTACTGGTGGTGCAAGGGGTTGAGACACAACCTATGAAGCAATCCGCAGCCTCTGCAGCACGAGTTCGATCCCCGGCCGGCCAGGGAGCAAGCCACGTGGCACAGCAGACCTCTTCTGACTCTCCCACTGCTCCCCTCAGCAGTGTATTTCAGTCAGTCTACCTGTTTTGTTCCCCACTCTCTCTCTCTGGTGAATCCTCTTACCCTCCTGCACATCTGGCCTGTACCCCAGTTTTTGTATGCATAAATATATGAATCTCTAAGAAAAAAACCTTAAGTTTTAATTCAACTTAACCATTTAAACACCAACAAAATGCTTAGTCCACTTTCAAAAAACGTGCCTAAAAGATAAATAGGAAGCTCTATTTATTGAATAAAAATTGGAATGACTTATAAGATTCCTGAATTGCCCAGCACCAGAGGATTAAAAAAATCTTTTTTTTTGTAATTAAAAACAGTAGCCAGATCATCCTGTCAGTTTATAACTTTATATAAAATCCTCATAATGACACGTTGTTATGATGTTTGTGGGGAATGTTACATGCTCTACTCAGGATTGGCCTTGGAGCATTAGAAGAATGGTTATAAGCGTCTCAATTACTAATGAAATATAAGCAAAGGCATTCCCTTTCCATATATTATTTAATACATTAATAAAATGTAAAATTTGTTTCTCAAGCAAGACCAATAGCCCTTGGAGAATCAAGAACCTATGTTAATGCTTCCTAAGTTTCTAAGTCAGTTTTTTTAAATTCAATTCTGAAGAACTTTAACATTATGAAGAAATTCTTCAGATGCTCACAAATGGTTTGTCATCTTTTTTTCCACAAATGTTTTATTAGATCAACTTAACCTACTTTATATACTGTAATTATATAAAACAAGTTAATTCATCGAGTACATTAACTATTTTCATGCACACCTTATAATAAGGCATTTTCTGCAAGCTCTATTAACTGAAGAGTGTACTAAAAGGGAATCTGTTCACCATGTGTAAATCTGTGTATGTGAATCAGAATTTTTTGGGTTCGGGCTTCCCCGGTGGCGCAGCGGTTGAGCGCTGGGTTGCGAGGCTGCCCGCGGCCTCTGCCGCGACGGTTTGATCCCCGGCTGCTCCCCAGCCACCGGAGGAGGGTCCCACATGGCGTGCAGAGCTTTCCTGACGCCCTCTGCTCCCCTCAGCAGTGTACTTCGGTCCTTCTGCCTGCTCTGCTCCCTGCTCTGGTGAATTCTCTCACCCTCCCATGCTTCTGACTGTACCCAGTGCATGTATAAACGAACAAACAAACAAACAAATAAATAAATAAATAAAACATGCCTCTATTTAAAAAAAAAAAAAAAAAAAGAATTTTTTGGGTTCTCTGCAACCAAAACAAAACACAAAAATAACCCAAGTAGGATAAATAATACTATCAAAAAATTTTAAATGTATGACACATTCTTTTGATGAGACTGTGGAGAAACAGGCATTCTCATGCATTGCTGCCAGAAATGCAAACTGATACCAGCCTTATTGAGGGGAATTTGGTAATAGGTAATAAATCTAGATAAACATCTACCTTTTGATTCAGCAATTCTACTTCTAAGAATTTACCCTGAAGATAACTCCAACAATACAAAAGTATAAATCTTAAAGTTATTTTTTGCAGAAATGTTTATAATTGGAAAATACTAGAAACAATCTAAGTTTCCAAATATGAATGATTAAGCACATTTAATCATTATTTATTTACACAATGGAATGATTGTGTGACATATTTACACAATGGAATGATTTCCAGAATCTCTGCTAAATGGAAAAACAAAGTATAAGGGAGTATCTATAATCATATATAAGAAAGAAGAAATAAAAAACATACATTTTCCTGCCCATTTGTGAAAAGAGAAACACATGAAGGATAAATCAGAAAATAAAATGGGTTATCTACAGATGATGAGGGGGAAAGGTGGCAGGAGGCTGGGAATGGGGCAGAGGTCATGGGGGGAGGACACTTTTTTGAGTATACTTTACTGACTAGTTCTGACTTGGAAGCATGTCATTGTTTTAGGAAGTAAAAGATAAATAAGTCAATCATAAAGAATCATGAAAAAGTTCTCAGGATACAAATAAGAACAAATGAACTTAAATGAATAGCATAGCCATACTGGGTGTGGGGTGGGGGGATGGATTGACAAGTAACTTTTGAACCCTGTATTTGGACTATATACCCTCAGGCTGAAAAACAAAACTGTAAACAAATATTAAACTCTAGATAGTAAATTTGATTTTCACATTAGTATATATTAGTAATTCTAAAGCTATGTTCAACATATTCTTTTTTTTTTAAGATTTATTTATTTATGCATACAAGAGCTGGGGTACAGGCCAGAGGTGCGGGGGTGAGAGGATTCACCAGAGACAGACTGAGGAACAGAACAGTCAGGCTGACTGAGATACACTGCTGAGGGGAGCAGTGGGCGAGACAGGAGAGGTCTGCTGCGCCATGTGGGTCACCTCCCTGGCTGGGGATCGAACTCGTGCTGCAGAGGCTGCAGACAGGTTCACAGTTTGTGTCTTAACCCCTTGTGCCACCAGGGAGACCCTATGTTCAGCATATTCTATGATGGAAAAACAAGTAAATATACTGGATAAAAGGAGCCAGGTCTCTCACTGTGGGAGTTACAAATGTGGAAAGAGGCAAGACTAAAATGAACCCCATGGTGGTAGAATTGGCAGCATGGGCATGAACTCAAGGTTTTTAATAGATTGATGATTTATAGTAGGTACATAACTCATAAGTAGATGACAGATTGATAGATGATTGATAGGTAGGTAAAGATGGATAGATTATTGATAATAACATTGAAATGACAGATCAAGAGGGGTGGGAGTGTGTGCGCGTGTGTGTGTATTTTCCAGTTCTGTCCTTACATAGCAATGATTCCCCAGTATCAGTGAACATACCTAGTGAACAGATCTTGATTTCTATACACCATTCCCCAACAAAAAGATCTCAACCGAGCTCCTTGAAGAAATATTGTTATCACATTGACCTAGAATATCTTGTATAAAAGAGCAAGAACGTGCTCAAAGAATAATGGGAAGGTGTCAAAAAGCCACAGGAGCCAGCTTCATGGGGTTCCCACTGACCAAAGTTAGAAAATTTTATGGATCAAAGGAAATTAGCAATGATGTAAAAAATAAATAAATTTTTTTAAAAAGAAATTGGGTATAAAAATCATCTCTAACGGGCCTCCCCGTTGGCGCAGTGGTTGAGCGCTGGGTTGCGAAGCTGCCCGCGGCCTCTGCAGCGCCGGTTCGATCCCCGGCTGCTCCTCGGCCACCAGAGGAGGGTCCCACATGGCGCGCAGACCTCTCCTGCCGCCCGCTGCTCCCCTCAGCAGTGTACTTCGGTCCTTCTGCCTGCTCTGCTCCCCGCTCTGGCTCGGTGAATTCTCTCACCCTCCCGCGCTTCTGACTGTACCCAGTGCATGTATAAACAAAACAAACAAACAAACAAATAAATAAATAAAAAAAAAAAATTAAAAAATAAAAATCATCTCTAACCCCAGATAGCAAATCAACTTCTCAATGATTGACTTCATAATAACAGCATAATTTAAAATTATTAAGTTAACACTAATTTAAAAATTGCCCAAAAGATTTGAGGAAAAATTACCAGTGCTAAAGTAACTTGAAAATCATGTGTCTTCTACCATACGATCCATAGGGATCTACCCAAAGGACACAAAAACATTGATTCAAAAGAACAACTGTACCCCTATGTTTATTGCAGCACTATTTACAATAGGTAATACCTGGAAACAACCCAAATGCCCAAAAATAGATTATTGGATCAAGAAGATTTGGCATATGTACACCATGGAATATTATGAACTAGAAGGAATTATGCTCAGTAAAATAAGCCAGAAGGAAAAATAAAAATATCAGATGGTTTCACTTATTGCAGAAATATAGGGGAATCCAATAAGATATCAGTGCAGGGCCTCCCCTGGTGGCACAGCGGTTGAGCTCTGGGCTGCGAAGCTGCCCGCAGCCTCTGTAGTGCCGGTTTGATCCCCGGCCGCTGGTGAGGGTCCCACATGGCGCGCAGATCTCTCCTGCCATGCCCACTGCTCCCCTCAGCAGTGTATTTCGTCAGTCTGCCTGTTCTGTTCCTCTCTCTGGTTCTGGTGAATTCTCTCACCCTCCCACGCTTCTGACTATACCCAGTGCTTGTATAAGTAAAATAAATAAAAAAAGATACCAGTGTAAAAAAATAATAACAGTACAAAACACAACAGAGCAGAAACGGAAATTATAAATCAGAGACATACTGCAGAGAAGGAGGAGGGAGAGGGATCAGAGGGAGGGAAGGAGGAGCACAGGGGACTGAGGTGATGGTGCACGGGTGCATTGGAGAAGGAAATTCTATGGGACTACACCTGAGGGGGTGGAGGGAAGCAAATATTGTTTAAAAATGAACAATGTTGTAAAAAATAAAAAAGAAAAAATAATAGTAAAGAAAGAAAAAAGAAAAGAAAATTATGGCTCTTACCCTATATTTGGAAATACAGTTTATACTACACTTTTTTAATTAATACTAACAAAAATATGTGGACTAACAAATAAATAAGCAGTAAGATTAAGAATTTTATATTTAGAGTTAGCTCAAAGAAGAAAAAATAAGCTACATCTGAATTATACACATTTTAAGGCTTTCCAAAGAAAAGTTATGGAATAATAATATACAAACCGGTCATATTTTTGGATCCAAGATTCCTCTACATTTTTAAATCTATTCTGATCAAATTCTATTTTCCACTGCAAGGTATTTATTTCCTGTAGAAAGAAAAGAGCACTTTCATGAAAAATTACTACAAATAAGTCACTTCAGGACTTGAGTAGCCAAAATAAACCATTTAAGCACTTTAAAGAAATAGGTTAAAGAGGAAAAAACTAATTATTTCTCCGAGTCTACGACATTTGTAAACACATATAACATGCCTCTTTAGCACTAAAAAAACTTTGCTAAAGTGTACTTAATGTAGCAAAAATTTCATATTGTTAAGCTTCAGATTTACTGAACTGAGCTAGATTTCTCATTGCTGCCAACCCCTGCAGACCCCCAAGTAAAATACACTCCATTGAGTCTGAGCCCAGGATCCTCCCAGCAAGGGAGGCTACAAAGGCACAGGCACCTGAGCACCTAAGGTGATTGATTCCTAGCTGCCTTTTAGTGAAGATGAGATGGTGGGAACGAAGCAGGTTCTGCCACCCAAACAGAGGAAAGAATAAATGAAGAATGGACTTTCCTGGGAGTGCAGGGGTTAAAGTCTCAGCGCTGTCAGTCTGTGGCCAGCCATTGCATGAGTTTGATCCCTGACCAGGGAGCTTCCCTCAGCAGTGTATTTCAGTAGATCCACCTGTTTTGTTCTCCACTCTGTCTCTGGTGAATCCTCTCACCCCTCACACTTCTGGCCTACACCCCAGTTCTTGTACACACACAAAAAAAAATGACCTTAAAATGAGGAAATAAAAGCCTGAATTATTTGCCCACATGACAATCTGTTTTAGACTATAAATTTCAAGAGGCAAGAGACTGTAAGAAGTTGATGCACATCTAGCAGGTGTATACAAATGACATGTCCATTAGTAGGGTGATTTTTAAGGAAGTTCTATTTGAAACCTTATCAGATTGAACAAGTAGCATAACAGTGGCAAATACCTTCTCCAAGGATCTCTTTTGTTCCACAGTCTTTTGAAGTGCTGCCTGGGTATGACTTGTGGCTTTTTCAAATACTGCCTAAGGAAAATAAAAATCATGTCGGTATAAATTAAATTTCTAATCACTTCTGTGTGTATGGCAAAGTTCACATTTTTAATTTAAAGCAACAAAATTAACTAAATATGAGAATTTCCACAGAGAACACCTTTTGTGGAGAGTTTGACAGTTTAAAAGTCAAAAGATCTTAGTTTGGCTCTTTCCCAACAAATGTGAGAATGAATAAATGGATTTCCCACACAAAGAGTTGTACAGGAATGTTCCTAGCAATATTATTTATAATAGCCAATATCTACCACATGGTTGAATGGATCAACAAAATGTGATATATCCATATAATGGACTATTATTTGGAAATAAAAAATAAGATGCTATTGCATGCATGAACCTCAAAAACACGCTAGCTAGAAGAATGCAGATGCAACAGAATTCAGACATATGTTGTATGATTCTGCTTACATGAAACATATGCTGTATGATTCTGCTTATATGAAACAAAAAAAGAAAATCTACAAAGGATGATTGGTTGTCTTGGAATGGAGATGAGAATGGGGAGTGACTGCTATTATGTACAGGTTCCTTTTTTGGGGTGATGAAAATGTTCTGAAATAAAATTGTGGTGATGGTTGCACAACTCTCTGTTTCGTAAAAAATCAATTACATTCTTCAAATAAGAGAAATTCATGGCATGTAAATTTTATCTAATAAAATTGTAAAATTGTAAAAAACAAATCTGTACCTCAAAAACAATGCACAATTATATTAGGCCCTCCTGCTTTTGTTTCATTTTATTATTATTTTTTAATGAGGTAACAATGGCTTACAACTCTGTATGTTGTTTCAAGAGTACAGGTTTCCAGCTCTTCAGGTGTAAGTTATCACACCACAATCACCACTGAAGGGCCAATAACCATCTACCACAATCTACTGGGGGCCCCTATCCTTTGCTGCTGCTTTTGTTTTAAAAGTTGAAACCATTACCTTTTAAAAACACCCTGGAATGTGTAAGTGATGAAAACTTCAAATACTTCAAAAAATTTTCTTACCATACTTTGAAGAATTTTCAATGCTTCTTCTTTACCTTCAAGTTTTTTTTTAACTGTCTCAAGTTCAGTTTTTAAAATTTCTACTTCCTGAGGACAGAAATAAAATTACTTTTCCTATCTGTAACATACGGAACTCAAATTGATCAGTCTGGTTAGTCTGCATTTAAACTCAACATACACTTCAACTCAAAGCTCTTTGACTTTACAGTGAAATCAGAAACTCCTTTAGATGTGGATCAAACAGGTTAACATTGCAAGCCTAAATATCAGGTGCCAGGTATGACAAAAAGCCCAAATCTTTTGCTTTGCTTTCACTTTCACACACAGTTAATAATTTGAAAAGAAAACATTAGATTATGTAAAATAAACATAGTCATTCACACAGCTACCTTACCTGTTGCAGCTTGAGTTATGACCCCAAAAAGCTATGTTCAAGTCTACTGTGAATTTGACTTTATTTGGAAACAAGATCTTTGCAGAGGTAATCAAGTCAAGATGAGGTTATACTGGATTAGAGTAGGTGACAATCCAATGTCTGGTGTCCTCATTAACGGGGGGGATGTTTGCACATAGATACAGGGGAGAAGGCCACGTGATAATAGAAGCAGAAAACTGGACGATGCAGCTCCACGCTGAGGAAAGCCAAGTATTATCAAAGCAACCTCCAGAAGATGGAAGAGGGAAAGAAGGTTCCCCCTGTAGACCTTCAGAGGAATAATGACCCACTGACACCTGGTTTCAGATTTCTAGGCTCCAGAAATGAGAGAGAGAAAATTTGTTGTTTTAAGATGCTTGTTGGAGTAATTTCTTGCAATTGTACTGGAAGTCAAATCTTTAATTTTTACCAGTTGAGTCACAAACACTCAGATGGGCTTCCAGTTTCCCAAAGGATAGGCATCCCTCACAGAAAATCCTAATCCCAGCAGAAGGACAGCTTCTCAAACCTCCTGGTTACTTGCTGATCTTCTGACTTCAAGAAGTCAAATTAAATCCATTTATTTCAAACCGTTCATACAAGAAAAGTAGATGGAAGATTAAAAAAGTAAGGCCATGGCGCAGCGGTTGAGCACTGGGTTGCGAAGTCGCCCTCAGCCTCTGCAGCACCGGTTCGATCCCCGGCTGCTATCCCACACAGATCAGCAACTTCAGTAGACGCTTCTGACTGTAAGTGCTTGATCTTAAAAAAAGTAAGGCCACCTTCAAGTAAATAGATCTCTGAGAGATGAGAAGAAACCGAAGAGGTCAGTTGAAAGATAGCTTTAGATTGTTGCTCATTGAGAAAAATTAAAAAGCCAGTATTTGCCTTCTAGACAGTTTTAGTATTACTCAAGCAAAATATCTATCAGTAAACTTTATTCACATGAGAATTTTTAGCCAAAATACCTACCTCTAAAGTTTCGTGAAGATGTTGCCTTAATTCTATATTTGACAATTCTGAATTGGAATCTGTTAGGGAAAAAAAGAATATTTTCTTTAAATACAGGACATTTGTTTATAGAATATCAAATACAGATTTCTCCTAAGTTGCAAAGAGAAAATAACTGTAATAGACCAAATACTGATAAAAATTGGTAACTTAAACATTTTGCAAATGAAAAAACACATGTTTGAATAGAAAGTCTCCCCCAAAAGGACTCTAAAGTAAAACCTATACTAATGAAATGATTAATGACTATATCCAAACACAATATTAAAAAACATGAATGGGCCTCCCTGGTGGCACAAGGGGTTAAGACGCAACCTATGAAGCTATCTGCAGCCACCGCAGCATGAGTTCAATCCCTGGCCAGGGAGCTACCCACATGGCGTAGCAGACCTGTCCTGACTCACCCGCTGATCCCCTCAGCAGTGTATTTCAATCTGTCTGTTCTGTTAAATCCTCTGTCTCTGGTAAATCCTCTCACCAGCCCCCCACACCTCTGGCCTGTACCCCAGTTCTTGTATGCATAAATAATTTTTTTAGTTTAAAAATAAATAAAAAATAAAAAACATGAATGTTGCTGAGTAAAATAAGTACGTTCTGGTGTTTGCTTAAGTTTTATCAATATAAGGAGATGAATATCTAAGAAATAACAGGAGTTTCTTTCCAAGGAGAATGATTAGAAGCCTCTGTAATTGCACTGAATCTCTCCTTACTATGATCGATTGAGACATTATACTGCGTTTCCCAGGAGCTTCATTTTCATTGTGATCTCTCTGGCAATAAAGAAGCAGTCAGGTGGTAAATTACAAAAGGATAAGAAATAAAAGGAAGAGATTTCTAGAAAGAATATTTTGAGGGACATTAAACATTTCTCCATTTGCTATTCTGAATTTTCATCAATATGAACATCCAAGAACAAACCTAAATCATGTTCTCACTCTGATGAGAGAGGGTTCCTGGAGGGACAGAGTGAGTTGGGTTGGCCATGACAATTTCCGTCCCACTAACACCTGTGGTAGGCAGAGTGATGGCCCCCCAAGATGTTCACATCCTAATCCCCAGAGTCCATGAAAACATGGCAAAAAGGATTTTTGTGGATAAAATTAAGAATATTTAGAGAGGAAATTAACCAGGTCGGCTCATCCTTACAAATGAAATGGGAAGGCCAGAGAGCCAGTGTTAGGATGCTGTGAGAAAGACTGGAGCAGCCATTGCTGGCTTTGAAGATAGAGGAAGGTGCCCTGGGCCAAGGGAAGCACTCACCTCAACAAGCTGGCAAAGGTCAGAGAACAGATTCTCCCTAAAAGCTCAAGAAGGAATGCAGCCCTGCAAACACCTTGATTTTAGTGCAGGGAATCCAGTTTGGGAAGTTTGAGCTCTGAATTATAATACATTTGTGTTGTTTTAGGGCATTAAATTTGTGGCAATTTAGAAAGTACCTATATGAAATAGGAAACTAATACAATATCCTTATCTAGGATCAGGCCAACACTGATAAAAAGACAGGAGTCCATAACCTAAAAAAACAGGAGCACATACTATTATTGTTACTACCCTAGTGGTTTTCCTTGTGTGTTTATAAAGGCACATTAGTACCATGTACATTTTTTGACATCTTGCTTGCAAAACAGTATCCCTCTTCTTTACATGATAAGGAACTGGAAGGAAAATAAAGAAAAAAATCCCATTGTAATTTCAAGATGGATTTTGAAAAGTGGGGATACATTCGCAGTGGCGACATGGCTTTTGTAAATCTGAAATCATGTTTCTTAAATTATTTTCCTCTTGTTTTAACTTGTGTTTTGTTGCATTTGGATGGGGAGGTTTTACAAGGTGAACTACAAAAGATTCAGCCACCCATGATGTATATAAGTGATTTGTGAAAAAAGGGGAGGAGGCACCGTCTCCCCTTCTGTCACTAGCTCAAATACAAAACCTCTGCCAATTGTTTCTGCACAGAAATAGCAAATAAGCTCAGTGGTGCTGGAGGAAACACTTGAGAGCCTTGAGCCCCAAAGTGAAGGGCTGTGATAGGGTCTTAGTGGAAGCCTATGACCGAGGTTCCCCATTATTTTGGAGCTGTACCACAGTGTGCTTCTGAATCTGGTTCTTTACTTAATGTATAGCATAATATGGCTTTGATTATGATAAGATCATAAAATTAATCTTACAGCAAAATTAGTTCTGTTTTGAGAATTTCATTATATTCCTAGAATCTCTGGAGGCATATGTGTTCTACATGAAACTCTCCTTCCCCAGAAAAGCACCAGGTTGGCTCCTCTATTCATTCTGGGATTTGAATGTTACTCCTCAGAGAGGTGTCCCCCGACCCTGGGCTGAACAAAGCAGTGCCCAAGCCATTCTAGCCAATCCATAATCCCTATATCTTTACTTACTTGCTGTTAAAGATTCGTAGATTTATTTTCTGTCTCCTCTACTATAGTGTGAACTGTATGACAATAGGACTACTTTATTATTGGGCACCTAACAGGCACCCAATATATATTAGCTAATAAGAAAAAAGTTGCGGTGAGACACTGTATACCTGAAACCTATAGAGTGTTGTAAACTAATATTACTTCAATAAAAAGAAAAAGGAGAAAGAGAAAAAAAGGGGGCCTGAATGAAGCATGTCACCTGACCAAAAAAGCAAGGGAGGTAACCACCAACTGATATCACTAGCAAACGTATCAATGTGGAGTAACTATGGCACTTCACAATTGTACAATACTTGGAAATAGAAACACGAATTACTCCTGTACTCTCACCAACCCCAAGAGATGAGTAAAGATGACTTTCTAAAATTCACCGTAGTGGGCCTTCCTGGTGGTGCAAGGGGTTGAGCACCGCACTGTGAAGCAATCCGCAGCCTCTGCAGCACTAGTTTGATTACAAGTTTGATCCCCCGCTGGCCAGGGAGCAACCCACATGGCGCAGCAGACCTCTCCTGACTCGCCCACTGCTCCCCTCAGCAGTGTATTTCAGTAGATCTGCCTGTTCTGCTCCCCACTCTGTCTCTGGTGAATCCTCTCACCCCCCGCATCTCTGGCCTGTACCCTAGCTCTTGTATGCATAAATAAATAAATATTTTTTTAAAAATTCACCATAGTGACTTATTTCCATGTATTGGAAGAGTAACACATTGATAAAAATCAGGGGAGAAGGAGGAAAGAGAAAACTCTGGGGGTTCTTACCAGAGCTACTTTGCCGGCTGTACAGGGAAATTCTGGATGCTGCAGGGTCTTGCAAGCTCGGAGGCTTGGGATATTGAAAAATGGCATCATTTCTCCCTTCTTCCTCTCTTGGAAGTGGGGGAGGGCTAAAGTTCTTTCCATCTGATCTTCTTCTAGACTTCAATAAATGTGAAACTTGTACTTCATAAACACCACCGGGCCTTCTTCCAAGGCCATACCCTAAATCGCCTTCTGCCATGTCATCGTCCCCTGGGCCCCAGGCCTGCACCTCTGCCTCACTCGGTGTCCTCAGCGCTCTGCTCATCACAGGTGCCGTCTTTACCATAAGGAAAACAGGTTATCTGTAGTCAAGAAAAATGGTAGTTAAAAAGCCATCGGGGGTGGGCCTCCCTGGTGGCACAGCGGTTGAGTGCTGGGTTGCGAAGCTGCCCGCGGCCTCTTCAGCGCCGGTTCGATCCCCGGCTGCTCCCCGGCCACCAGAGGAGGGTCCCACATGGCGTGCAGACCTCTCCTGCCGCCCGCTGCTCCCCTCAGCAGTGTACTTCGGTCCTTCTGCCTGCTCTGCTCCCCGCTCTGGCTCTGGTGAATTCTCTCACCCTCCCACGCTTCTGACTGTACCCAGTGCTTGTATAAACAAACAAACAAATAAATAAATAAAACATGCCTCTATTAAAATTTAAAAAAAAAAAAAAAGCCATCGGGGGCCTCCCTGGTGGTGCAAGGGGTTAAGACGCAAGCTATGAAACTGTCTGCAGCCACTGCAGGGCAAATTCAATCCCCAGCTGGCCAGGGAGCTACTCACATGGCGCAGCAGACCTCTCCTGACTGGCCCGCTGCTCCCCTCAGCAGTGTATTTCAGTAGATCTGCCTGTTCTGTTCCCCACTCTGTCTCTGATGAATCCTCTCACCCCCCACACCTCTGGCCTGAACCCCAGTTCTTGTACGCATCAATAAATAAATCTTTAAAAAATAAAAGCCATCAGCATGATAAAGTTGGGTTTCCTGGAAAGAAAATTTCTTTTCTGTATTCAATGATGCAGGCGTGGCTATCCTAGCGTGCACTGCCACACTGGGCCCCGTGCAAAAAAACAGCTCACATTTCAGGCTTTTTCTGGTAAGCGGTGATCCAACCCCATATTTCAACTATGGCAGTGAATTGTAAGGAAGCAAGAAAGGCTGTCACTGAATCTGGTAATCCAGCGAGCGGGATAAAGCAGATCAGATCATTCTTTGCCAAGGAAACAGAGCTCTCTTGATTTGCATGCTCATAAAGGAAAGGATTCGGTTTTCACAAGCCTAAGAGCTATATAAAATTCAGAAACATCTCTGAAAAACCAAACTCCCAGGTTTCCACTATGACTACCCATCCCATCACAGCCCTTCACTTCAGGGCTCAGGGCTATCGTGTGTCTCCTCCAGCGCCACTGGGTTCATTTGCTATTTCTGTACAATTAGCAGAAGTTTTGTATTTGAGTTAGTGATGGGGGGGAAGAGGTGCCTCCTCCCTTTCTCAAATCACATGGTCAAGCCTGTTTTCGAAACTCTCTCCTGATTCACATCACAAACCTGGTAAGAGCCAAAGCCCTTTCAATGGGCAAGGGTCCCAAGCTCATCTCTACCTTGTGCCTTTGGCCTACACCCACCACCCTGACCTGGTCTCCCTGACCTTCGATGCCCCTGGACTTGGCATTCCCTCTGCTGGGAGTGCACTTGCCCCAGACACTTGCACATCTGGTTTTTCAACCGTTGGGTCCTTCCTTCAATGTCACCTCCTCAGTGGAGCCTTTCCTGGCACCCCATCTAGAATTGCAAATTCCTCTCTGCCCCACCGCTCTGCTTGATTTTTCTCCTAGGAACTGATGACCTTTTAATACACTCCACCATACTTTACTCATTTCTCAAATTGTATCATTGAAAGGGGGAAGGAAGTACAAAAGTGAAGTCTAGTGAAGCAGAAGGTTGTTCCTCCTGCTGAAGACACCCCCCACGAGGGAAGGTGACCAAAAGTTTTCCTCAGCCAGAGCAGCTCAAACCTGGTCTAAATGGCTCCAAGTAGAATTCAGGCAACACAAGGGCAGGGAGTTTTGCCTGTTTGTATCACCTCTGCATTCCAGTGCCTAAAACAGTACTCAAGACATAAGCAGTGCTCAATTAACAAGTATTTAATAACAGAATAAAGGAAGGAAGGAATAAACTAACTGAAATGCTTGCCTCTAGAAAGAAAAACAAAAGAGTCACCTGAGCAAGACACCAAACTGGATGGTGTGGGGCCAACTGCCTGCCCTTCTTCCCAGAAGAAAATATCGCCAGGTACACATGCCCCAAAGAGAATCACCATCACCCAGCTGGCCCTGTGTGGGGAGTAGGAGTGGCACCTACCCCAGGCGGCTCCTCCCTGGTGGGCCCGGAGCACCTGAAATGCTCTTCCCTGTTCCCCCAGCACAGAGCACAGTAAAGAGGGACTTTCATCACCAGGCATTTCCACACAGCTGCTTGGCTGTAGTTTAGAAATATTTCATCCCTTTTCTCAAGACCCTTTTTTTTTTTAAAAAAAAAAAAAAGGAAAATAAATACACTTGACATCTCTTTTCTAAATATCCTGTTTAAGTAGTTGATACCAGGGCTTTCAAAAATTCTTCCACTCATATTTGACATAAGTGTCAAATAAATCTGATCATTTTGAAGGGTTTTCTGTTGTTTTAGGGTCAATATATTTTCAGGGTTGGAAGACAAGGGCACTTAGGAGATTTGAAGAAATGCATCATAACATCATAAAATAAGATACACGGATGGATGGAAAGATGCTAAACACTAGTCATCAAAGAATTGTAGACTTAAACTACAATGAGATTCTACCACACACCGTATGTATTTGGACATCTACATACACCAGAGACAGGAACAGAAATTAGTACAACCACTGTGGAAAGATTTCTCTTAGCACGTGATCCCGCAACTGAATTATAGATATTAACCTAAGAGAAATGAAATTAGATGTTCACACACAGATGTGAACATAAATATTCATAATATTATTCAAATTAGCCCCAAACTGGAAACAATCCAAATGTCCATCAACAAAAAAAGACAAATTGTGGCACGGTCATATAACAGAATATATTCAGTAATAAATAATGAATTTCTGATATATGTGGATGTGGATGAATCTCATAGATATTATGGAAGAACCATGTACAGTATGAAATTTTAATAAAGCTCATGTACATGAAAGAAAGCAGATCAATGGTTAAAGGGGCTGGCAAGGGTGATTTCAAAAGGCATATGGGAACTTTTCTGGGTTGATGGAAAAGTCTTATATCTTAAGTAGAATGATGATTTATCAAAGTTCATCAAACTATATATTTGCAATGGCTGCATTTTTTTATGTAAATCATACATCATTCATATGATGGGGGTTTTTGTGTGCGTTTTGTTATACATTTTTTCAATATGGGACACTTCATGAATTTGCACGTCATCCTTGCTCAGAGGCCATGCTAACTTCTGTATCATTTCAATTTTAGTAACATGTGCTGGCAAAGTGAGCACTCATTAATATGATGTCAAAACATTTTTCTAACAGAAAAAAATAAAGGACCTTTAATTGGGATAGGGAGCAAGATAGGAAGTGTTATTCAGTTATGCCCTGCTAGATAAGAAAATGCTTAAACTAGACTCCTCATATCATTAATAATTTTTTAATGATGTAATAGCTAGTGCTTGTTGCTTGCTTTCCATGTGTGAGGTGCGTTTCAAGTGCTTTACTTAAATGATTCTATTTAATCTCCACAAACACTTTGCAAGACAAAACTGTTAAAAAGTATAGATAATTAAAGTGAAGCACAGAGAGACTGAGTAACATAGTCAACAAGAGAGAGTCAGATTCTGAATCCCAAGCCCAGATGTCAGACCCACTGCCTCACTCTCAGCAGCTGCTTTTTATAACTTGGGGAATTTGAATGAAACAAATGTTAGAGTCGGCCAGGTTTCTGTTATTTATGACATCACACAAAACTGAACATAAAAGTTTAAAATAACTAGTTGTGCAACATTCAATATAGTCTTTTGGACCCAATTTCCCCCCAAATATTTATAGAATCATCTTTGTTCTCTGACAAGGTTATTTCTTAAGTAAGTTTATCAATTTCTATTTTCCAGGTAAACAAGAGATTATTTACTGAATCAAGGAGTAATCTCTTGGAGGCTGTGTTTCACCTCTGGTGCAGCAGATTCCTGCTTATAAATGCGATCTCACAAGGAGACTGTGGTAGGGCTTGGCAGTCAGCAAGGAAGAAAATGGAAATGATCAACACAAAGGAATATAAGCAGTAAGAGGAAAGAGAAAGCAACAGTGGGATTACTTGAGAATACTTTTTAACATGCCACATATATTCAGGGGTCATGTCTATGTCTTCCTGCTGTTCAAAGTTGAATATAATGAGCTTTCACAGGGTCCAATGTTCTACTGTTTATTAAAATGTAACTTTGAAAACTGTTGGCTATGTATTCTGCCCCTGTTTAACTACTAATAGTAATATTAATATATAATGCAGTACAAATTAGACTTGACTCGGAACACATTACTTCTAAGAAAGGGAAAATAGTTGAAGTTACTAATTTTTCATTCAGCCAATTTTAAATGCATTAATCTTGACAAGCAGGGATCGGCAGGCAGCAAGAAGGCACTCAGGAGCCATGGGTTTGGATCTCACTCCATGACTTGCTGCTCTGTGATCCTGGACAAATCATATAGCTTCTCAGAGCCTGTTTTTAAATCTTCAAAATGGGTTTAAGCATAACAACTTTATAGGGTTATTATAAATGTATAATATGTATTTGAAATTATATACATATACACATATATGTATAATATCATTTGAAATACTATAAAATGTATTTGAAATTAATGTTTATTGAATTACAAATTGAGTATTTGTTTCATTATATGTCAAATGACAAGTTTAAGTTCTTTAGAACCTCAAAAATTCTGGTTCCTTAGCAGCATTTTCCAAAGTGTGCCCTCTGGAATGCTAGCTCTATGGGCTGCTAGGAACAAAAGGGTCCTTTGTGTTTTTTTTTGTTAAGATTTATTTATTTATTCATACAAGCACTGGGTACAGTCAGAAGTGCAGGAGGGCAAGAGAATTCACCAGAGCCAGAGTGGGGAGCGGAGCAGGCAGAAGGACCCAAGTACACTGCTGAGGGGAGCAGCAGGCGGCAGGAGAGGTCTGCGTGCCATGTGGGACCCTCGACGGTGGCCGGGGATCGAACCGGCGCTGCAGAGGCTGCAGGCAGCCTTGCAGCCCAGAGCTCAACTGCTGCGCCACTGGGGAAGCCCCTCCTTTGGTTTTTTAAGGAATGATTTCCTATGCTAGCTCAGGCATATATGACTTGTCTAAAATTACAAGTCAGAAGAGTCAGAACAAGAAACTGGCTCTGGCTCTTTGCCCAGTGTTCTTGGAAAGGCCATAGGATGAAGAGATTGCACACTGAGGAATCTTCCTACTTGTGCACTATAACAACTGCTTTAAAAAGCGACAAGTGACTCCCTAGTTGCTAAATCCAAGATCTACTCTGGTCCCTCAACTTCCTCCACTGCAGAAGTGGTGACACTGACTTAGCACACCCAGGCCTGAACTCCCCAGCTCCTCCACCTCACAGTGGTCTCATGCTGCCTGTTGAGGCTCCTCTTCCTGTCCCTACTGTATATGTTTGGTTTCCACTCAAAAACACTCATAAACACACATCTCCAGTTGCATATCTTGCCAGCAGTTCAAACAGAGCTTGTTCAAAAACAAATCCATTACCTTCCCCACCCCTTAGCCTAGTCCTGAGTCCTCTATTTCTGCAAATGCATCGACCATGCTCCAAACACCAAGGTCCAAATTTTCAGAATTTGTTTTCCTCTTTATTTTTGGTCCCTCCAGTTGCCAAATCCTCTAGGGTCACAAAATCTCCCCAAACCCTGTCCTTCTTTCAGCCTTGGCTGAATTTTTCATTACCTCTCCTGGGCTAAACCAATAGTGCCCCCATCTCATCTATTCCAAGTCAACTGACACACAGCTGCCAAATCAATCATCTCCAAGCGCGGGTCCAATGATGCCCCCCTCTCTTGCTCTGAAACATTCCATGGCTCCCAATCCATTTGTCATTAAAGTGTTACCCTGTTTTCTACAATACAGTTTTCTCTTCCCCTTTCCACACCCAGTTCTCCCTAGCCTTGCTGTGTGCTTCCGGGCCCCTCACCTTCCTCACTTCAGGCCTCTGCTGGTGCCCCCAGCCCTGGAATGTTTTCTCTCTCAGATAAGAGGCCACCACCTCAGTAACCTTCCCGACTCTGCAGCGCCAGATGGGATTTCTCCCACCTGACTCTTCCTAGCCCTGTATTGTACTTTTTAATAGTTCTTACTTCCTGCTGACAGTCTTTCTTTCACACACCCCTAGTCCGGGGAGTATGCGTGTGTTAGTGCGCGTAACAGATGTTGCAAAGACATTTGATGGACTCCAAACAGAAAACAGATTCCTGCCCGGAAAACTTGGACTGGGAGCATCCACACCCTTTAGCCTTTCTCTGCCTTAGCAAACAAATTGGTCAAACAGCCAAGTCTAGTTCCTGTCAGGCTTGGCTAGCTGAGAACTCCCTCCCGGCTCCCACCTACCAGACCTGTACAGCGTCACTGGATTTTGTTTCAGTAAGTTGCAAAGACACAACAGACAGCGACAGCTCTCGAATATTCTTTATCCTGGTCCCGCTAATGTTAATATCAGGGTACATTTATCAAAATTAATAAATTGACTTTGATAGCTGCAGTTAGCAAATCACAGGCTTTGTAGGGTTTCCCCAGCGAGTCTACGGATGTCCTTTTTCTGCCACCGGATCCAATCCAGGATACTAACTTGCATTTAGTGCGCTGCAGTTTCAAGGCCCAAAATTATTAGAAAATTAAAATAAAACGAAGGAGGAGGGCGGCGGGGTGGGAGGCAGAAGCAGCCTTTTAAATCTATTCCTGATTTTTGTAACGTCAGCAAGGCCTTTAAACCAGCACGCGGGGAGACGGGGCCGGCCTGCCAGCCTGTTCCCACCCTGCCGAGTGTCCGCGGAGCTGCGCGGCTCCTCTGCCCGCGCGTCCCGCCAACTCGCGTTCCCGCTTCCCAGACCTGGGCCCTGCACCCTCCCGGGTTGGGGATCCCCGACAAAGGTTCGCGCTGCAGCACCCCGGCGCCCCCCGGCCCCACCCCCGCCCCCCACGTCAGCCTCTCACCGGGCGCCGAGCCTCCGGGTCGCGCGCGCAGCCGCCCGCCTCGTGACCGCGCCCGGAAAGGCCCCGGCGCCGCCCGCAGGCTCCGGGTCAGCCCAGGTGGCTGTTCCCTCTCCCTGGGCCGGGACCGGGATTGTCCCTCCACGGGCAGCCAGAGTCGAAATAATAGCACGAGATTTAGGAAAACAGAACAGCCCGCGTGTGCGTCGGTAAAGGTAAAATTAGGTGGCTCAAACCTCAAGACCTGAGGAGACCCCAAAAAGAAACACGGATTCGAGCTGAAGTTAGGAAGTGGAGGTTGACCTTGAAAAGCAGTTTGTTGGGGCCTCCCCGGTGGCTCAGAGGGTTGAGTGCCGCGCTGTGAAGCTGTTTGCAGTCTCTGTAGTGCGGGTTCGATTCCCAGCCGGCCAGGGAGCTACCCACATGGTGCGGCAGACCTCTCCTGCACCTGCTGCTCCCCTAAGCAGTGTCTTCCGACCGTCTGCCTGTTCTGCTTCCCCCTGGTGAATTCTCTCACCCTCTTGCGCCTCTGACTGTACCCCAGTTCTTGTATAAATATTTACTAGGAGAGGAGAGGGGAGGGTTTTGTAGGCCAAAGGAACACTGGTGAGAAGGGTGATGGTGGGGAAAAGCCAGCGGGAATGGGACAAGCTATTCCTGTGTATTTGCACGAAGGCCCCACCTCCAGCCACACAGAATGTTCAGGGTCATTAGCTTCATTACCTTGGTGAAATGATTTCGGTATGGCTTTCTAATACATCCTGACATCCTTGAAGTAACTGAAGAGGCTTTGAAGAGATCAAACATCTTGATTGAATCTAAAGATTACTCTGGTTTAGAAATTAAGTCATCAACAATTTCCTCTAAAAGACTACACTATTTGAGTCTCTTCTCCAGAGCCTGCCTCCCCACCCGTTCCCAGAAAGTAAACACACCTAGATGTGTGGAAACCAGACTTAGAATGGAGGCTCTCACATTACTGCAGACTATGGCAGGAGCAACGCTATATGCACAGTGGATGCTCAGGAATTTAAAATTATCATAAGATGAGCATATTTATGACTTCAAAATCAGTTTCTCTACTGTACTTCAGTATGATAAACATATACTAGTGGTTTTGCCAACCAAAATGTGTTCTTCACTTAAAATTTATGTAGTTTATATACATGTTGCTTCTCAGTAATGAGTATAACTTTTTTTAAAGATTTATTTATTTATTTATGCATACAAGAACGGGGATGCAGGCCAGAGTTGCAGGGGGCGTGAGCGGATTCACCAGAGACAGAGTGGGGAGCAGAACAGGCAGATCTACTGAAATACACTGCTAAGGGGAGCAGCAGGTGAGACAGGAGAGGTCTGCTGTGCCATGTGGGTTGCTCCCTGGCCTGCTGGGGATTGAACTCGTGCTGCAGAGGCTGTGGATAGCTTCACAGGGAAGGCCCCTGTAACATTTTCAATAAAAAATAAAATACAAGAAAGTAAAATAAATTTTTGACTTAATTTTTAAGTCTTTACCCTAAAAATATTTCAATCTTCTCCCCCCTAAAAAAAAAAAACCAACTCAATTCTGTTTTTCTTTGTCCTAATTTTTCCAAAATATGGAACTTTGAATGCATCCATATTAAAGTTGTTATAAAAAGACATGAGGGACCTCCCTGGTGGTACAAGGGGTCAGCACTATGGAGCTATCTGCAGCCACTACAGCATGAATTCCATCCCCAGCCAGGCAGCTGACCCACATGGCACAGCAGACCTTTCCCGTCTCGCCCACTGTTCCCCTCAGCAGTGTATTTCCTTCAGTCTTCCTGTTCTGTTCCCCACTCTGTCTCTGGTGAATCCTCTCACCCCCTCACCCACCTCTGGCCTGCACCCCAGCTATTGTATGCATAAATAAATAAATCTTAAAAAAATAAAGTAAAACCTCATCTATAAAATAACATGAGTCTAAAGTTGATTTTCATCAGTCTATGCACAAAGCTGTTAAGCTATTGCATAACAAATATGTGCTAAATGGCTTTAGAAAATTGTGTCTACTCATTTGTGCACATTTCAAATATAATGTGTATTTAAGAGTTTGTTTTCTTTTTTTAAAGATTTATTTATTTATTTATACAAGCATTGGGTACAGTCAGAAGCGCGGGAGGGTGAGAGAATTCACCAGAGCCAGAGGGGAGAGCAGAGCAGGTAGACTGACACACTGCTGAGGGGAGCAGCGGGCGGCAGGAGAGGTCTGCACGCCATGTGGGACCCTAGCCCGGCAGCCCGGGATGGAACCAGAGCTGCAGAGGCTGGGGCAGCTTCGCAACCCAGCACTCAACCACTGCGCCACTGGGGAGGCCTATTTAACAGTTTTAAAGCTAAAATCCACACAGTATACAATTTAAAGTATATAACTCTTGGGCCTCCCTGATGGCACAGAGGTTAAAGTCTCAGCACTATCAAGCTATTGCCAGCCATTGTGACCTGAGTTCAGTGCCCAGCCAGGGAGCTAACCCACATGGCTCAGCAGACCTCTCCTGTCTTGCCATGTGGTAGCTTCCTGGCCTGCCTGGGATTTCTCATTATCTCAGGCTGCAGATAGCTTCACAGTGCTGTGCTTAACCCCTTGTGACACCAGGGAGGCTGTCAATCTAAGATACTTCTAACTGTAACCTTGAGTAAGTCCCTGGGTTCATTACCTATAAATAATAATACCTAACTCATATAGTAGTAGTGTGGATTGAGAGTTCACTTTAAAAATGTGTTTGAGGGCCTCCCCTGCTGGCACAGGCAGTTGAGCACAGTGCTGCTGTGACGCTATTCACAGCTTCTGCAGTGCCAGTTCGATCCCAGCCGGTGAGGCTCCCACATAGCACGCAGACCTCTCCTGTCTCACCTGATGCTCCCCTCAGCAGTTTATTTCGTCAGTCTGCCTGTTCTGTTCCCCGCTCTGTCTCTGGTGAATCCTCTCACCTCCCGCATCTCTGGCCTGTACCCCTGTTCTTCAATGCATAAATAAATAAATCTTTAAAAAAATAAAAAATAAAAAAATGATTAGGGTTTCAAAGAAAATATGCTAATGACTAACAGACATAAAAAAAGATGTTCAACATCATTAATCATTGAGGAAGTATAAATCAAAACCGATCCATTGATTTACATATGACTGTACACCCACAGAATAGATATTAGATGAACAGTAGCAAGTAATGTAGAGAAATTAGATCCCTAAAATTTAGATGATGGGAATGTACAAACACTTTGGAAAGTAGTTTGGCATTTTATTTTTTAAAGATTTATTTATGTATACAAGAACTGGGGAAAAGGCCAGAGGTGTGGGGGGTGAGAGGATTCACCAGAGACACACTGGGGAGCAGAACAAGCAGATCTACTGAAATCACTGCTGAGGGGAGCAACGGGGAGACAGGAGAGGTCTGCTGTGCCATGTGGGTTTCTCCCCAGCCGACTGGTTGGGATCCAACCCGTGCCGCAGAGGCTGCTGACAGCTTCATAGTGCAGCTCTGAACCACCTGCACCACCAGGGAGGCCCGTGAAATGTATCTTAATTTAAAATGAAAAGCTTTAGGTCTGTATGTTCTAAGATGCAATCATCTCCAAAATATGTGCTGTTAAAAAATATGTGCACACATGTGTGCATATGTGCGTGCGTGGAGCAAACACACCCCCCCCGCATTTTCTCCCCCCCTCCCCCACAGACATAAAATCCCTTATAATATATGTAGGAAACCAGTGACCAGTAACATTATTCCCTAAAAGGAGGGGATCATCTAGGGTGGCTAAAGAATAGGGGTGGCCTGGAGGGAAACCTACTTTTCCAGAATACCCTTCTGAATTTTATAGAGAATGCAAATATTACCACTACTATTTTTTTCAGTTTAAAGAAATACAAATGGAAAACTGATGCTTTATTTTAGCCATATTTTATTTTAATACATCACCACTTTTTGCTTCCACAATAAACTTAAAAGTTATCCAATCATCTGGTCAGATTTATCAATCTTCAGCAACTGAAGACTTAAATGACAGTTTTTACTCTCAATTCTTAATATATTCATTATTCTTGAGGTGGTTTAGTTTTTTCAAGGATATTAAAAAAACCCTCAAACAGAAACCATTATAGTATCCATCTACTAATCCTGCAGCACGACTTTAATAAAAAAGATTTGCTGTTTCTATGATGTGAGTATAGAGATGTCAAGAGTAATTATAAAGTGGTCAGTCTTATAAATCAAGAGCTATTATCTTTGATCCACTGCTCAATCCATTTCAATATCTGATTAATATTATCCTCTAGATCTTCTGGTTTATTGCTGGGCAGCTGATGCACTATTTCCTCCTTGTAGGATGCTATGGCTTCTTCATAAAGAACTTGAAAAATTTCACACTGAACATTGTCTTTTAGTTTCTTCTCATTATAACCCCTAGAAGGCAAAGAAAATATAAGCTAACAAAAAGAAAATTGAATGATATTAACTGGTTTTAGGAACATATCAGAAATTGGACATTTTTGAAAGTGAAAAATCATGCAAAAATACTTACCGCGGTCTCTTTATCTGGAGAAATTAGACTGAACCTGACCTTAAACAGATCCAGAACTTTCTTTCCTGAGACTACCCTCTAAACTATTCTAGAATCCCTATCTTCCCACGGCTTGAATCAAAAGACAGTGGAAGAATGCTTTCCACAAAAATGTATCTTTTCTGGTCATTCTAAATTTATGATGCTCTCTTGAAGGGACTAAAATACAGTTTACACACTGTAAAATGCCGATTTATCACTGCCTTTATTTTACAAATGCATCTTTTTCTTTTCTTTTCTTTTTTTTAAAGATTTATTTATTTACTTTTGCAAGCACTGGGTACAGTCAGAAGCATGGGAGGGTGAGAGAATTCACCAGAGACAGAGCGGGGAACAGAACAGGTAGACTGATGAAACACACTGCTGAGGGGAGCAGTGGGAGAGACAGGAGAGGTCTGCCGCGCCATGTGGGACCCTCACCCGTAGCAGGGGATTGAACCAGCGCTGCAGAGGCTGTGGGCAG